CCTCCTCTCTTTCTTTTCTTCCTTTTTTCTTTCCTTCTTTCTTTCCTTCCTTCCTATCTTCCTTCTTTTCTTTTCTTTCTTTTCTTTTTTTCCCAGTCCTGGAGCTTGAACTCAGGACCTGGCCTCTGTCCTTGAGCTTTTGTGCTCAAGGCTAGTGCTCTACCACTTTGAGCCACAGCTCTACTTCTGGCTTTTGGTCATTCATTGGCGATAAGAATCTCAGACTTTCCTAGGCTGGCTTCCAACCACAATCCTCCCATCTCAGCCTCCTGAATAGCTAGGATGATAGGCGTGAGCCACCAGCACCTGGCTAATAATTGCTGTTTATAACCCACTCTGAATGATAGAACCACATCCACAGAACATTTCCAAGCGCAGATGCACAATGCATAGCATCACAGGCGTGTAATGTGACACACAAAAGCCACCCCTGGTGTGGGGCACCCCAGACCACAGAAGCAGTACCGAGAGGGACATATCGTGTCACACCACTACACATGGACACACATCACACCCAAGCCCAACCCACATACCCAGAGCGTTCCTGTGTCTCTCCCGTTCTGCTGGGCAGGTCCTCAAGGAAGTGCAGACTTAGAATAGAAAGGCCTCCCCCCAACCACCACCACTTGTCCGCTTGGCTGGACTGGTTCTGCCAGGACACAGATGGCACAACTTGCCTTGTGAAACCCACGTTGGGCAATGGGGCTCAGACATAGACACTGGGGTTCTAGGAAGAAGGACTGGAAGCTGTCTAGATTCGTGGGTGCTCAGGGAGCAGGCAGCTAAGGAACCTCACTTCCTTTTCTTTTTAAAGATTCTGGGAAAAATTGGGCCACAGTCCTTGAATTCTGTATCTGTGAAGCAAACGTTCCAGATTTGACAAATAAAAATATGAGAAGTAAGCCAGGCACTGGTATCTCATGCCTGTAATCCCAGCAACTCAGGAGGCTGAGATCTGAGGATCCCATTCAAAGCCAGCCTGGGTAGGAAAGTCCCTGGGACACTTATCTCCAATAAAGAGGATGGGGATATAGCTCAGTGGTAGAATGCTTGCCTAGCTTGCACAAATTGTCTGAAATTCAAGTTGAACACACACACACACACACACACACACACACGTCTCTCTCTCTCTTGTTGGTCATGGGACTTGAACTCTGGGCCTGGGCGCTGTCCCTGAGCTCTTCAGCTCAAGGCTGGCACTCTACTACAGGAGCCACAGCGCCACTTCCAGACCTCCCCTCTTCCTGCCCTTTGCTCTCCTCACTGGGAATCAGGTCACCTCAAGCTTTTCCAGCCCTGATTTCCTTCTCTACAAAAGTAGTTAGAACTCATCATGGTGCCCAGGCTGTGTCAGAAACAGAAACTTGAGGACAGCTCACACTGTCATCTTGGAAGTCCAAGGATCCTCAGCTATGACTGACCTGGCTGAGTCAGCGCCCCCGGGGCTGCACAGCTTGGAGGTAAGGGGCCTGTGTCTGCCTTCTATGGTGTGAGGCTCAGAGAGGAGAGACCAAGAGACAGGGAGACAGATCCAGAAATTTGCAGAGATGAGGAAAGAAATAGATTCAGAGGGGGAAGAGGTGAGGAGACAGGGTCATAAGAATGAAGTGGGAGGGGCTGGGAAGGTGGCTCAGTGGTAGAGTGCTTGCCTAGCATGCATGAAGCCCTAGGTTCAATTCCTCAGTACCACACACACAGAAAAGGCCAGAAGTGGGGCTGTGGCTCAAGTGATAGAGTGCTAACCTTGAGCCAAGAAGCTCAGAGACAGTGCCCCAGAACTGGCAAAAAAAAAGGGGGGGCTGGGAAGGTGGCTCAGTGGTAGAGTGCTTGCCTTGCATGCATGAGGCCCTGGGTTCGATTCCTCAGCACCACATAAGCAAAAAGAAAAAAGCCGGAAGTGGCGCTGTGGCTCTAGTGGTAGAGCGCTAGCCTTGAGCTGAAGAGCTGAGGGACAGCGCCCAGGCCCAGAGTTCAGGCCCCACAACCGGACCCCAAAAAAAAAAATGAAGTGGGAAGCCAGGCGCCAGTGGCTTACACCTATAACCCTAGCTACTTAGGAGGCTGAGAGCTGAGGACCGCAGTTCAAAGTGGGCAGGAAAGTCTGGGAGACTCTTATCTCCAGAAAACTGGAAGTAGCACTGTGGCTCAAGTGGTAGAGTGCTAGCCTTGAGCTGAAGAGCCTAGGCCTCGAGTTCAAGACCCATGATTGACAAAAAATAAAAATAAAGTGGGACTGGGTACAGACAGCTTGCACCTGTCATCCTAGCTACTCAGGAGGCTGTGATCTGAGGATAACACTTCAGGGCAGGAAAGCCTATGAGACTCTTCCTCCCCCGCCCCCCCAGTTGTGGGGCTTGAACTCAGGGCCTGGATGCTATCCCTGAGCTCTTTTGCTCGTGGCTAATGTTCAACCACTTGAGCCATAGTACTACTTCTGGCTCTTTTTGAGCAGGTTATTGGAGATGAGAGTCTCACAGACTTTCCTACCCAGACTGGCTTCAAACCATGTTCCTCAGATCTCAGCCTCCTTGTAGCTAGGATTATAGGCATGAGCCACCAGCACCCAGCTGTCTATGAGACTCCAATGAACCACCCAAAATCTGGAAGTGGAGCTGTGGCTCAGGCAGTAGAGCACCAGCCTTGAGCACAAAAGCTCAGAGACAACATGCCCAGGCCCTGAGTTCAGCCCCAGGACTACCATAAAAAAAAAATATGAAGTGGGGGACACATCCACCTAGGATTCAGGCACCCAGACCCAAGACAGACATGCACAGGCAGGGTGATAGAGTGCTTGCTACCCATTGGTCGGAGTGGTACGAGACCAAGGTGTGGGCCCTGGGGTGTTGGCATGGAGGGAGGGAGCTGTGATCCCAGCTTTCCCTGCAGTGAGCCACCTGCTGCCACTCCATATCCATACACAGTGGAGTGATGACACTTCTCTACAGGTGACACCCAAATTTTCTGGTGCCTCCTACATTTTTTGGGGTGACACCCGTGTTGGGGACCCCACCCACCTCTAATACCGCTTCCCCCATTGAGTCACCTCCAATCTTGTCAGGCCTGTTAGAGGGGGGAAAACTTTGGTGAATCAAACATCCAGTCCCCAGCTCCCTCCTTCCTGGAGACTGGCAATTTGGGGCCTCAGGACCGCTTGTGACCCCAGGATTCCTGCTGTATTGCAAGAAGACCCAGTGGTCAAGACCTCAGCCTCCTCCCTCAGACCCAGGGGCCCCAGCCCCAGCCTCCTCCCTCAGATGCAATTAGGACCCAGACAAATCCTGGATCGTCATTTTTGCCCTTCAGTCCATGCCCCCACTTCCCAATGTGGAGTAGAGGTGGGGAGTGATCATTCACTTTGGCCCCACAAGAATCACGCCCCAAAACATTGCCTGTGTGCTGAGGCCTGGAATAGGAGGACAGGGTCCCCCTCTCCAGGGACAGGAGCTAGCAGGTCACTAAGCATGCTGAGGCAGTCCCAAAGGGGAGCCCCATTCCACTCCTCCTGCTGCACCACCCAGCCTTCCTCTCACGCGTCCACCCCTGCCTGTCCCCACCCTACCCTTCCCTGGTCCTCCTGTGCTGCCCTTCTCCTGCCCCTCCTCCTCCGGATCCTAGCTTCTCTTTTAAATTATTTCTCTCCCCATCTCCGTGCCTCTGTCTCTCATCATTTTTTCGCAGTTTTCCTGTCTCTCTTCTCATCTCTGAATATCTCCCTCCCTCCCCTTTGCCGCTTCCCTGCCCCCCTCTCATCCCACTCTCTGTCCCCATCTATTTAGATCTTATCAAGATGACCCAGCTGTGCCTTCCTCCATGCCTGTCTGCCTGTATCTTCCTTCTCTTGTTTCTATCTCCCAGACAGCTACCCTCCTACCCTCCACATACACTACTTTCTTGGTCCTGGAGAGGTGAGGGAAGTAAGAGGGGGTGGGTGAGGAATCGAAAGGGAGGGCGGGAAATCCTAGTAGGGGGAGGGGAAGAGGGTCAGCCAGACCGGCTTGGCTCCTTGGGTGCCTCTGTCAGAGCCCCACCCAGGACAGAGTGGCATGGCCCATATAAGCAGCTCCTAGCCTGAGACTAGGAACTCAGTGCCAGCGTGTCAGCTCCACCTGCCCGTCCCTGCATCACCGTGCTCCTGCAGGTAGGTAGAAGGCAAATGGCCCTCTTAGACACTCTTCTGCCCTCCCTTCTCCCTTGCTCATATCTGTGTCTTTTTGTTGTTGTTGGTAGTGGTTGTGGGGCTTGAACTCAGGGCCTGGGTGCTATCCCTGAGCTTTCCTGCTCAAGGCTCATTTTGAGCCACAACTCCATTTCTGGTTTTTTTGGTGGTTCATTGGAGATAAGAGGCTCATGAACTTTTCTGCTCCAGCGGGCTTTGAACCATGATCCTCAGATCTCAGCCTCCAGAGTAGCTAGGATGACAGGAATGAACCACCAGCACTAGGCTCTGAGTTTTTTGATCCTGTCTCAAGGTCTGTCTCTTTAGCCACACCTTCCTTTCTCATGGCCCTGGATTGGAGATAATGGAGTTTGACAAGCTTGGGGACTCTGAGCCCCAGCAACCCTCTCTTTTGGTTCCTCTGCTCTGGGCCATCAGATGTAAGATGTTTGTCTTCACTTCTTGGAGCCTCAGTGCTCCTTCTGTAAAATGGACTTGCAGAGGAGTCCCAGGGCTGGGCGCTGGGGGTGTTACTGGAAGCATCTCTGAAGGTACCTGTCTCTGCCTCTGGCTGTCTCTGTTTCCCACTCTGCCTCTGCTCTGAGGAGGGTGCTCTGGGGTCTGTCGGGCAGATGTTGAGATGGGCGAGTTTCTCGCCCCCCCCCTCCTTTATCCCTCCTGATTGATTCCATGTCTCTCCCAGCCAGCAGGCTGACTTAGCCTCTTTCTTCCCAACTCCCTCCCCTCAGACAGCCTAGCCCCCAGTGCCCCAGCCCCTTGCCCTCCCCTCCCCAGTATCCAGCGTCCCTTGGACAGAATCTGCCGCTGTTATCTCAGCCACCAGCATCCGCCCGTCCTCACCGCTACCTGCTCAGGGCCAGCGAAAATGCAGTTTGAGATGCACGACAACGTGAAAGGCAAAGGTGGGATAGCTGGATGGACCAGCAACCCTCCCAGTACCTGGAACCTGGCTGCCTCCCTCCCCCTCTGGGCACACTGGCTTTGAAGACAAATGGCACCTGCTTCTAACCCAGAGGCCCCTGGAAAAAAAAAATGCTGGAACCCAGTACCCCAGGCCCAGATGTGAAGGAGGAGGAGGAGGCTACATGTCCAGGCCCTGACAAGATGTGATTCCCTCCATTCCCCCAAGGCAACCAGAAGTGCATTTGGCAATGGCAACAGGGACAGACTGGGGTGTCAGTGCCCAGATGTGGCAAAAGGGACTGGGGAGGTTGCAGCCATGTCTCTTCAGTGGGCGGCCTATGTGGCTCCGCCCAGCCTGCCCGGCAGAGGGAATGGGTGGCAGGGGCACAGGAAGCTATGCCAGGCTGCCTGCTGATCATCCTTCTCTTCCTAACTCCGCAGCCATGTCGTACCCAGTGACCACTCAGCCCCAGTGTGCCAGCACCTGCTACCAGACCCAGCTCAGTGACTGGCACACAGGTCTCACGGATTGCTGCAACGACATGCCTGTCTGTGAGTGACCCCAGAGGGCGGGAAGGGCGCCTGCAGTCCTCTCCATTTCCTTTCTTTGTAATCTCAGTTCCTGTTCTCTCTGTCTCTCTGTCTCTTTCTCTCTCTCTTTTTCTCTGGTCGGTTGTGGGGCTTGAACTCAGGGTCTGAGCTCTTTTTGCTCAAGGCTAGCGTTCTACCACTTTGCGTCCCAGCCCCACTTCCGGTTTTTTGGTGGTTAATTGGACATAAGAGTCCCACAGGACTTTCCTGTCCAGGCTGTCTATGAACCGCGATCCTTAGATCTCAGCCTCCTAACAGGCGTGAGCTACCAGGGCCCGGCTCAGTTCCTGTTCTCTAATCCACTTCGCCCCCCTGCTCGCCTGGGTCCCTCCAAGATTCCTAGAAGCCTGACCTCCCTTCGCTGCTAGCCCCTAAGGCCCCTGGATGCCTATTAATTCCTCCCCGGGACTTGGTTTTCGTCCACTGAATTCTCTCTCGGGTCCTCATCTCTACGGCCACGCCCTTGGTGTGGATTGGGCACTCACTGGCCACGCCCACAGTCAGCACGCCCGCAAAACGCTGATTGGGCGCGCGCAGGCCACGCCCCCTGACCATCCCTCCTCGCCCAGGTCTGTGCGGCACTTTCGCCCCGCTGTGCCTCGCCTGCCGCATCTCGGACGACTTCGGCGAGTGCTGCTGCGCGCCGTACCTGCCCGGTGGCCTGCACTCGCTCCGCACCGGCATGCGCGAGCGCTACCACATCCAGGTGCGCGCCCAGGAGGAGCGCGGGGGCGGGGGCTGCCTCCGGGAACCCTCCGCGGGACTCCTGACCTTTCTCTCCCATCTAGGGCTCCGTCGGACACGATTGGGCGGCCCTCACCTTTTGTCTGCCCTGCGCCCTCTGCCAGATGGCGCGGGAGCTGAAGATCCGAGAGTAGAGCTGTCCCCTCCTTTCTCCCCTTTTAAGTCCACGGATCGCTCCTGGCCTCCTGGGGCCACTCCTGCCCACTGCCCTGGTCCCACCTCCAAAAATACATCCATAATAATTAATAATAATATAATAAAAAAAACCTGAAAACCAACCTCGCCTACTGCCTTTGTATCCCAAGGAAGGAATCTGGGTGGAGAGGGAGGTGGGGAACCCATGCAAGGTGCCGGGGTGTGGATGGAGGTGGCCCCAGTCTGACAGGATGGCTGAGAACATGACTTCCCAGCCTCCTTTAACCAAGTGAAACCTCCCAAACCGCAGCTGCAGATTCCCCATCTGACATTCTGTCCACATTCTAAAAGCAAGCAAAATTAGGAAGATAGTCCGGGCTTACCAGTCTTCCTGGATCAGCTTTTTCCTGAAGATGGTCCCTCAAAACAAGTCTCTAGGTCCACCATCTTCTGGTCTGCTAGCATCCCGTAGTCACTTTCTCTCCCACTTCCTTGCCGCTCAACAAATTCACTTCTAGTCCACTGATCAACAGAAAGCAGACTTGGAATCCATTCTTCACTGGTGTCAAAGCTGTGTTACTTCAGTGAATTCATAAGCCTTCCTAACCCTATTTTCTCCTTTGAAAATAATACTAAGATGTCAAAAAGCTACTATGAGGGCTGGGAAGGTAGCTCAGTGGTAGAATGCTTGCCTTGCATGAATGAGGTCCTGGGTTTCATTCCTCAGCAAAACATAAGCAGAAAAAGCTGGAAGTGGTGCTGTGGCTCAAGTGGTAGAGCCTTGAGCTGAAAAGCTGAGAGACAGTGCCCAGGTCCAGAGTTCAGGCCCCACAACCAACAACAACAACAAAAATCTACTATGAATAATCTCTGAGTTTAAATCCCAGTATAGCCAAGAAAAAGAAAAAAAAAACACAAGACAAACAGAACAAAACTCCAAGAAATGATGGATGTGGAACTGAAGACTCATACCGAGCAACCAGCACAATGTGTGGAGGAGTACAGGCTCTCCGTAAAGTATATTCCTTTTCTCCAAAGTTTCCACGGCATTGGTTAAGCCACAGCCTAAAACCCGGGCCTCTGACCTTCCACGCCCATGCTCTCTACACTCATGGTGAGCCTCTTGCATTCACTTGCATCTGTAGAAGCAAGAGCTGAGGATAGCCGGGCGCTGGTGGCTCACGCCTGTAATCCTAGCTACTCAGGAGGCTGAGATCTGAGGATTGCGGTTCAAAGCCAGCCCGGGCAGGAGAGACCAAGAGACTCCTATCTCCAATAAACCACCAGAAAACCAGAAGTGGCGCTGTAGCTCAAGTGGTAGAGCGCTCGCCTTGAGCTGAAGAGCTGAGGGACAGCGCCCAGGCCCAGAGTTCAAGCCCCACGACCGACAAAAAAAAAAAAAAGAGCTGAGGATATGGTGTGGTAGCACAAGGACAGGTGGCATTCGCCATTACCAGCATTCAGACGCTGGTTCAGAGCCCATCCCTTCCTCTCCCACATGGAGATCAACACAGCTCCAACCAAGTCTTCCCCACACTTTTATTTGTTGCTTCAGCCACTCCCAGTTCCTCAAGTGTGGCCCACAGCTGCCCTGGACATGCACATACTGTGGGGATGGGGGCTTAGCTGGGGCCTCAAGTAAGAGGAAATGCAGGGCCCAGCCCTCAAGAGCAAAACCAAGCAGCTGGGAGGAGGAAGTTCTGGGAAAGCAAGAGCCTCCACTTCAGGAAGGTGGCTAGGATTGAGGAGGTCAGTCCTCGGAGCAGAGCAGCTCACAAGTCCAAGTTTGGATAGGTAGGGTGAGCCCTAGGAGAGCCCCAAAGTCTCAAAAGAGCATTGGAGGGAGCTGTGGGGTGATGACCCCACCATGTCTCTCTACTGCCCCCCCCAGACATTTCAGCAGATTTTGTGCCTCTCTCAATAGGCTCAGCTCTAGATTCACAGGGAACCCCTGGTCCCCAGATCTGAACTCCAGCCCAGGAAACATCCAGCCATCCAACCTCTTCCCAGCCACTGCCTTCTCCAGCACTGCCAGTCCCCTGCACTCAGTCGGTGGTTTGCAGGAAAACCACTGGATTTGACTGCACAGCTGCCTCAAGGCCTCCTCGGATCAACACTGGACCGCGCCTTCCTCACCAGCCCCATCTTGAACCGCAGTCAACTGGATATGTCACCCCATCCTGGATGTGCCCTGCACCTCCCTGACAGCACACCGCCCTGAGGCCCTTCTATTTTTCACCCTGCCTCTGATCCTGAGCCCCCTCCCCCAGTCCACCACCATCTCTCAGCCCCACCGCCCCTCCTCTCCCTTTAGCACATCCTCACCCCTGCAGAATGGCTCACTGCAGGCATGGCTCACAGCTCTCCCACAGAACCCTCATGCACCTTCCTGCTGCCCTCAGCATAGACCCAAGCACCTCATCTGGTGCCCACCTCCAGACAAAGGCCCCCACGATATCTTCTACCTGGAACTATGAAGTTCTTCCCGTGGCCATGACCAGTTCCCTTGGCCTTCTCGGTCTAGCTTCTCTGAAAGCCCCGCTTCACCCCACAGTCCCTCTACCCCACCTACCCCCATCACACTTCTCTCTGACACACCTCGTGGGTACATGTGCATGCGCCATGGGGACATGTGGATTGTCTCCCTTCCCAGGGCCTTAAGTCCCTTGAGATCTGCAAACCTCCTGCTTTGCTCTGGGCCTACAACAGTGCCTGGCATTCAGTAGCTGCTCGATAAATAGTCGCCAAATGCACAGCACAGGGGGACAACAAGAGGGAGGAGGGACAGTGGTCTCAGAGTGTCCAGGGGCCCCACTCCAGACCAGAGTGGTCCTCCCCCCACCAAGGGGAGACATGTCAGAGAGACATGCTGGTGAGGTTGTCCTGATTCAACAGTCCTTTTCGGCCTGCACCCGCCCCGTGCCCGCTGCCCGCTGCCCCCCCACTGCCCCCACAGTACTCATGCAGCCTGTGTCGCAGGGTGACGAGGGCCGAGCCCAGGCAGGCACCATTGGGCGCATGGGGCCCTCCGGGCAGCTGGAGCAGCAGAGTGGCCACCCCGGCCATGCCATCCTCCGTGGGCTCCAGGGTGATGGGCCCCGCTCGTAAGCCAGCGGTGGTGGCAGGGATGGCTGAGGGGTAGCACCCCCCGCCCATGGGTCCCCAAGGGCCCCCCGCCCCTGTCAGTAAGAGAGGTGCCAGGAAAGGCTCCGAACGGCGGAAGGCAGGTGGTGGGAGTCCGGTGGGCTTCCAGGCAGGGGCCGTGGGGTCTGGTGGGAAGCAGACGGTGACCTTGGCGAAGGGGCGGCTGGCCATCTTGGTCATCTCCTGCAGATGCCGGCGCTGCTCCTGCCGCTGGTCCAGGGCCTGCTTGGCTTTCCACAGGAGCACGCACAGGGAGAGGAAGAGGAAGAAGCAGGAGAAGAAGACGGAGAAGAAGACAAACAGGTCGATGTGGGCCTGGTCTTGCCGGAAGAAGAGGAGGCCCTGTGAGTCGGCCGAGCCGTTGGCGCCAGGCCCGCTGGGGTCTCCCACACCCAGCAGCAGCAGGTAGAAGCGGCTGGACTTGAGGGCGTGGTGCTCATGCGGGTAGGTGATCACCAGCCGGTCCCGCACGCCACGCACCACCAGCACGGCCGCCGGTTCCGTCACTGTCACGTAGGTGATCAGACCTCTCGGCCATACTTCCCGCACTCGTGGCTCGGCGGGGATGCTGGGCCCATTCCCAGCCCCCTGTCCCCCTGAGTCCCCTGCAGCGGCCCGGGGTCCCCCATCAGCAGGAGGTGGGGGTGGGGGTGGGGGGAGGGGCGGTTGGATGTGCACGGTGTGGATGCCCGTGTCGGGGGCCACGCGGACCACAAAGGTGTCATAGGACGTGGAGACATAGAGGTCCACGGCCCCGAAGGTTACGTCCAGGGTCAGGCGGATATCCACATTGGTGAACTTGGGCTGTACCCCAAAGAGGACAGTGCGGCCGGGGCCCAGGGCCCGGCGCTTGGGCTCGTGGAAGCAGTTGGTTTGGGAGGTGGGGTCGAGGCAGCACTCCTGCTCCACGGAGATGAGGCGGTAGCACTGCTGGCCGCCTAGCGGGCTCCCGTGGAAAGATTCTCGGCACTTGGCACACTGTGGGCAGGACAGGGATGGAGAGGCCATCAGGTGGAGCTCGGCCCAGGGCTGTTTCCCCCAAAAGGGACTGACCCATACCCTCAATCTGATGCTAAGTGGTCAATACCCTGAGCCCCAACTGGCCATGCCCTTGTGCCACGGGTCCCGGATGTCCCTGCCCGTGCAGACACTGGCTCCCTGCTGCAGACGGGCACCCTGGGGCACAGCAGGAAAGAGCGCTACTGGATTCTGGCTCAACCTCCTCACAAGTGCTATGATGATTTGAAGAGGGAGAAACTGCTACTTGAGCGCAGCTGGGTTTGGAGGCATGGCTCACTTGGTAGAGCACCAGCCTATGAGCAAAAGTGTCAGGAACCGAGTTTAAGTACTGATCGTATACCACCCCAAAAATGAACTTTACAACTTGCGGGTGGGGATATGAGGGAAAAACTTGAGACAGAGCGCCGGGCACTGGTGACTCATGCCTGTAATGCTACTGAGGAGGCTGAGATCTGAGGATCACAGTTCAAAGCCAACCCGGGCAAGGAAAGTCCATCTCTAATAAAACACTAGAAAACCGGAAGTAGCGCTGTGACTCAAATGGTAGAACACTCACCTTGAGTTAAAAAGTGCAGGGACAGCGCCCAAGCCCAGAGTTCAAGCCTCATGACCAACCAAAAAAAAAAAAATTGAGAGAGCAAGAAAAGGGTGACACTGTCCAAAAAAAATGTACTATGGGGGCTGGGAAGGTGGCTGAGTGGTAGAGCGCTTGCCTTGCATGCATAAGGCCCTGGGTTTGACTCCTCAGCACCACATAAGCAGAAAAAGCCAGAAGTGGCGCTGTGGCTTAAGTGGTAGAGCACTAGCCTTGAGCTGAAGAGCTGAGGGATAGCGCCCAGGCCCAGAGTTCAGGCTCCACAATCGACAAAAAAAAAGAAAAAGAAAAAGAAATGTACTATGTCCAGGTACTGGTGGCTCACACCTGTCATCCTAGCTACTCAGGAGACTGAGATCTGAGTATAGTGGTTCAAAACCAGCCTGGGCAGGAAAGTCTAGGAATGAGACTCTTATCTCCAATGAACCACCAGAAAACTGAAAGTGGAGCTGTGGCTCCAAGTGTTAAGAGTACTAACCTTGAGGGAAAAGGCTCTGGGCTCAGGGACTGCACCCAGGCCCTGAGTTCAAAGCTCAATGAACAACAAAATTAAAAATTAAAAAAAATTACCTGACTTATGTAACTTCTGCACATCACCTTTATTTATTTATTTATTTATGTCGGTTATAGGGTTTGAACTCTGGGCCTATGCACTGTCCCTCAGCTCTTCAGCTCTAGGCAAGTGCTCTACCACTTGAGCCACAGCACCACTACCAGTTTTCTGGTGATTAATTGGAGATACGAGTCTCACAGACTTTCCTGCCCAGGCTGGCTTTGAACGGTGATCCTTAGATCTCAGCCTCCTGAATAGCTAGGATTTATAGGTGTGAGCCACGGGCACCCAGCGTGGACATTACCTTTATAGTAACAATTGTTTTTGTTTCTGTTTTTGTCAGTCATGGGGCTTGAACTCTGGGCCTGGGTGCTGTCCCTCAGCTCTTCAGTTCAAGGCTGCCACCCTATCACTTGAGCCACAGTGCCACTTCCAGTTTTCTGGTGGGTTTTATAATAACAATTGTTTTTTTTTTTAACTAACTAAAATAAAACAATAGTCTATTTATTAAGCTGAAATAAACCCCAAACCATAAATTCAGAACCAAACTATTAGTCCTGCACAGGCCTGCCCACTGCATGCCAGCTCTGGCCCTCTGGGCACGTGGCCTCTCAGAACTCACTTCCCCAGGCGCACCTGATACTTGTAGCAGTCTCGGCGGTCACTGGGGGAACTGCCCTGGCAAGTGCCCGTCTCTGTGTTGTTCTGACACGGGCAACCTGTCCCATCCTGCTCGTTACAGGTGTCTGCGTGGCCATTACACTGGCATCTGAGGATGGAAAGAAAACGGGTGTGGAACCCGTGTGACCTCTGAGGCTCACAGAGGCCAAGCTATTGCCTAAGGCCACAGCCACTAGAGGGCAATCTGGGTGGGAATCCAGCTTGGATGAACTCCAGTGTCCCCTGAATGCTGGAAGGGCAGGGGTGGAGGCTGGCTCCACCAGGCTGCTCTGTAGCCTGCATTTCAACTCTAGTTTGAGGGCCAGGGTCCCGCTTAGCCCTACCCCTGCCTTAGCCTGGGGTTCCCTGGGGACTTCACCCACTTCTGACTGTGAGCAGGAGTTTGGGGTCAGGTCTGGCACCCAGGATTTTTTTAAAATTTTATTTTATTGTAAAGATGCTGTACAGAGGGGTTACAGTTACATGAGTAAGGTGATGAGTACATGTCTTGTCAAGCAGTTACTCCTCCCCTATGTTTTTCTCCTACTATCCCTTCCCTCCCCTCCCCCCCGCCAGGGTTATTGTTATGAAGAAGGGCGAGGGTCTGCTCCTTCTCACTTGGTGCACTTCCCATCCAGGAGGAAGTAGCCGTGGAGGCAGCTCTCGCATTTGTCCCCATAGCTGTTATTCTGGCAGTTCACACACACGGCTTCGTCTTCACTCGGCCCCTCAGTCACCCAGTTTTCAATCTGACCAAGGAAGGAACAGGACGCTTGCAGGAAGGCCTGAACCCAGCCCTCCTCCCTCAGACCCAGGAGTCCAGGCTCCAGCCCTCCTCCCTCAGACTCAGTGTCTAGGGCCCCAGGCTCTTTCACCTCCTCCGGATCCAGTGAGTACTTCTCTGGCTCCCTCCTGGCCATTTCCAGCTCCTTCCTGGAGACGCAGACGTGACTGTTGCCGCGACAGAAGGCATGGCAGGGCCGGCAGGTGCCACCTCCCAGGGCGGACCCCACAAACAGTGGGAGACACTGCTCACAGTGGCTGCCCTGGGAACCCAGGACAGAGTGGTCAGAAGGGCTGAGGACGCACAGGATGAAGGACATACAGGGCTGGTACTTGGTCATTCTAGGCCTGCGATCTAGCCTCGCTTTACCTGCTCATTTCCAGCCCTAAGTTCCAGCCCTTCCCTCCACTTCACGCCCTCCCTGCTCCAGTGCCCATTCTGTTCACCACTAGTGTCCCGGATGTCCCACATGTCCCTGGCACAGGAAGCCCTGTTCTTGGTTTCTCAGGGCTCAGAATGAGATTCAAGATGTCTGAGCAGGAGGGCTGGGCTATGTGGGTGAGGCCCTGGGTTCCACACACATACATGTCTTGACACAGGCTGACGGCAAGCCAGGGCAGGTCTGGGGTCAGGGCCCAGGCTCCAGGCACCCACCTTGGTGTGGTTGCGGCAGAGCAGACAGTGGTCGCGGGCCCCTACGCCGGCACACTCGCTGTGGCGATTGCAGTGACACTCTGTGGAGCAGTTGCGGCCCACAAAGCCAAAGTGACAGCGACAGTGGTCAGGCTCCACGCATGAGCCGTTCACACAGCCCTGGGCACACACTGGGCGGCACAGGCCGGTCACACTGGGGGTAAGGGGGAAGAGAGGTAAGGGGCAGGTAGCCCAATTTCACCCACTGCCCTACCCTCCTTTCAAGCTGCTGCCCACCCCAGTACCCCAGTAGATCTCCCTGGCTCCAAAGGCTCCATTTTTTCTCTTCCCTTGGGGGGTGCAGCCCACCACTACCTCCCCGGAAGCTGGTCTACCATCCTTCCTCTTTTCAGGTCCCTATGGAACTCATGGCTTGCTGGTCTCCCTCACCACCCTGACCACTCCATAACTTGACCACACCACAAAGGCCACAGCCCTCCAATTTCTTGGATCAATTCCCCCCACCCCGTGATTCAAATTCCCTTCCTCCCATCAAGCAATGCGCTCAGACTCCCCTCCTCCCATCAGGCAATGTGCTGGGCCTAGTCCATCAAGGTACACTGTCCCCACCCTACCGCCCAGCCCCAGGGGCTGCAGGCTCACTTGTCCATGGTATAGCCGGTCTTGCAGCTGCACTCATAGCCGTGGGGCTGGTCGTGGCAATTCTGGGTCTCATTGCAGTCGTGGTGCCCATTTGCACACTCGTTCTCAGGGGGACAGGACAGGAAGGCCCAGGCCGCCCCAGGCCGTCCACATGTCAGCCCTGGTCCCAGAGATAGATTCATTGGGGGCCTGCACCCCCACTTCCTGTGGACCACACCTAGGCACTACTACCCCCAGCACCCCCCTTTCCCTGATGCTTGGCTCCCCAGCCCTTCTCACCATCACGGGGGCCGCTGAGTCCGCCCTCCATGCAGCGGCCGCCCCCATCCTGGCCCCCCCAGGCGCACCAGCCACAGTGGGGGCGCCGCAGGCACAGGGCACACTGGGTAGCCTGAGCACAGCCCAGGGAGCAGCTCTCAGGTCCCCGCAGCAGCCGCCCACAGCCTCCGGCCATACATCTTAGGGGCAGGTAGGAGGGGCTCAGACACTGTCCAGGAGGGGAAAGGGGGCAGGGGAAGAGAGGTAGAGAAGGAAGGTCAAATACAAGTATGGATCTCCCCACAGCACCCAACGCCCCCATTCCCTGGCCCCAGCCAGCTCTCTCTCATGTCTTTCTCATTAGATATCAGGACCAGGGAGGTCCTGCAGTGGGAAGACCCAGCAAACTTGAGCTGGAGGGGGGACACTTGGATGAGTAGACAAATTACAGAGGAAGAATAGAGGGTCAAAAAAAAAAAAAAAGCCAGGCACTGGTGGCTCACACCTGTAATCCTAGCTACTCAGGTGGCTGGGATCTGAGGATTGTGGTTCAAAGCTAGCTAGGGCAGGAAAGTCTGTGAGACTTTTATCTCCAATAAACCATCAGAAAACCAGAAGTGGTACTGTGGCTTGAGCTGAAGAGCTGAGGGACAGCGCCCAGGCCCCGAGTTCAAGCCCCATGACGGACCCCCCCCAAAAAAAAAAGGTTGACAGCAGTGGAACAAAGAAGGGAGGTGATGGCAGCTGATTATAAATGTCTGTGGGCCATAAGCTTTATTAGTCATCATAACTCAAAAAACAAAACAACCCCCCCCTCAAAATCAGAGGGTTAGGCAGAGAGCAGATAAACCTCATATTCCAAAGATGACAGGTTGCAGGCTGCAGCTCTAGTCCCAGAGGTCTGGCTCTGCTTTCTGCCCATGTCCCCATCGTACCATCTACTGGTGATGTGACTTTCTTTTCTCTTCCTAGCTTGTTCCTTTCAGCTAGTGGTAGGCAGTGGCCCAGATGGATACAGAAGAGAGGCAGAAGCACCATTATGACCCACAGCCTCTTAGAATAAACATGAAGCTGGCTGTTGGGAAAAAGGCTTCTCTCACCCCAGTTGAGGGGCTGAAGGGTTATGGGTGAGGGGTGGGGCATCAGTCCACAGCTACTACTTAACGTGCTGAAACCCAGAGCGCATGCACAATGAGGCTCAGATCCTTGGGAAGGAACCACAGGGTGTCTAAGTGTTTTATTTACTGCTTGGACTTAAGTGAAGGATAAGAAGGAAAGAGATTCATCTGGGCTGGCTGCCTAAAAGCAGTCTGAAATCCTGAAATAGAAACGCTGATTGCTATGGCCGGAGCTCAGAGCCCACCCAGGGCTGGGCTGGCTATGAGCAGAGCTTTGCTCCACTGCCAGGTGCCAACTCTCTGCCAACCAGCCCGACACGCCCATGTCTCGGGCATTCAATAAATTCTCTGTGCACTTCTTCCCCTGCCCCCTTGGATTTGTTGTTGTTTGCAGGACAGGCTCTTACTATGTAGCCCAGGCTGCCTTGAACTCTTGATTCTTCCTTCCCTAATGCTGAAATTATAGGCAAGCACCACCCTAGCCAGTAGTTTCTTTAAAATAAAATTTAAAAAAAAATCAAAATCTCTGCTAGGCAGGGCTTCCAGATCTAAATTTAGTGCACTCACTGACAGATGGCAGGGCAGTCTGGGAGAGGCAGAGAAACCTGAATCGCTCACTAGTCCTGAGTGGCACTTTCGGCTGTGACCTGCTGAAGTGGCCAAGTGTGACAATGCCCCACATCACAAACCTGAGAGCTTGTTACACAACACAGCCTAGCAAGTGCTCAGTGAAAAGTTTGTGAAAGGGAGAGAAAGAAGGGAGGGAAGAAAGGAGGGAGGGAGAGAGGATGGAAGGAAGGAAGGAAGGAAGGAAGGAAGGAAGGAAGGAAGGAAGGAAGGAAGGAAGGAAGGAAGGAAGGAAGGGAAGGAGGGAAGAAGGAGGGAAGGAGGAAAGGAAGCAGGTTAGGGAAGAGAGTACTCAGTTGCTTGAGGCCAGCACTATGACAAAGAACAATGCTAGGGCGACTAGCCAACATGTCACTCCTAGCCAACATGTCACTCCCGGGCGGGCCTTATATTCTAGATGCTTGTACTCCACCCTCCTGGGCTGGAACATGCCAGAAGCAATGCTGGCTTCTTTTCTCTAAAAATGGAAGTCCTAATGGCAAGTGTCCCATTTTCCCTGTGCAGCCGGCTACCAGGAGAGGGACTCAATAGACACGTCTTTGGAAGGGACACTAGAAACCAAGAGGACATTCTAGGCAGTCGGGTGGCCAACTGTCACGGTCACGTGGTGCCTGCTCAGGCTGCACACCTCACCGGTCACTTCTGCAACCGTGATACAAAGGTGTCCTGGCCTTCCCATCCTATCCTCTGCTTGTACCCCCCCCAGGGCCATGTCTCACTGAGGCTGGAAACCTGACATGAGCACTGGCTTGCTCTGAGTCGGAGCTGACCAGTGACCTTGCACAGGGTGGAGGGGAGGAAGGTGAGGGTCCACTGGGGCGGGCCCCAGGGTGGGGGTGGGGAGGTACCTGTTGGAGGCTGCTGCTCCAGACACAGTGCTGCCAGCCGCCGTCAGCACCCTTGGAGTCCAGGCAGGAGGTACAGTTGGGGAGGAGGTGACAGGGAGTGGGGCAGGGCAGTGGGGGTGAGGACTCCACTGGCATCGGGGACACGTTCAGCAGGGAGTGACTGAAGCAGGTCCAGTCGTAGGTGGGCTGCACGGAGAGGATGCGGCGGGTCTCTCCTGGGAAGAGGGACACAGGAATTAGTGTTCAGTCTGGCTCTCAGCTCCTCCTCCCTCGGACCCAGGAGTCCAGTACCTCTTCCTTTAGACCCAGGGGGCCAAGCCTAGCCCCCTTCCTCAGACCCAAGGATCTAGGCCCTAACCCTCCTCCCTCAGATCTAGGAGTTTAGTCTCTTCCCTCAGACCTAGGGGTGCAGGCCCAGCCTTCTTCCTTAGACCTAAGGGTCTGGGCTCCAGCCCTCCTCCCTCAAATCTAGTTAGCCTCCTCCCTCAGACACAGTAGTTCAGGCCCCAGACTCCTTCTTCCACTTCAGTAGTCCAGGTCCTGGCCTCCTCCCTCAGACCAAGCTCCACTCCCAGGAACCAAGCCCACGGCCTCACCGGTCCTCTTGAACTGCCGCGTCCACATGCACTTGCCCTCTCGCGTGCACTGCTCGCAGTCGGCTGCCCCGCATGCAGCCTCGGAGCAGTTCCCCGCCCAGAAGACCTCTCGCTGGTTGATCCGACAGTCGTTCTCCGATGTGCAGGACCCATTGCGGCCGATGCAGGCGCCTTCGGGGCAGTTGGTGCACCACTTACAGCGGGGTGCAGATGCCTGGTGGGGGGAGATGGGCTCAGTGGCGTATATAGGGGGCCCCCAGCACCTCCTATTCCCATTCAATCATGGCTGGGATGTTCTGTGGCTCCTGACACCCAAGGAATACACACTAGTACACACCGCCAGCCCTTCCCACCCAAGAGTCCTCACCATCCCCACCCTGGCCATTCACCTCTCCATCTCCAGGCTGCAGGGTCCGGGGATGGCGGGCCAGGCACTCGCTGCAGGTCCGGAGCCGTCGACATTCCTCAGGGGAGCGAGGCATCGGGGAGCAGGGTGGCCCTCCACAGCCCAGCCTGGAGGACACAAGGCCGGCCTTGGTCACCCCTCAGAAACGGGTAGCCCCAGCCAGGAGCCGATGGCTCATGCCTGTCATCCTAGCTACTCAGAAGGCTGATCTGAGGACCACAGTTCAAAGCCAGCCCGGGAAAGAAAGCCTGTGAGACTCTTATCTCCAGCAAACCACCGGAAAACTGGAAGTGGTGCTGTGGCTCAAGTGGTAGAGAGCTCACCTTGAGCTGAAAAGCTCAGGGTCAGCGCCCGGGCCCAGAGTTCAAGCCCCCGTCCCCCACCAACAAAAAGAAATGGGTAGTCCCCACATCTTCCTGCTACCTGGACTACAACCATCAGTAAATACCCACACTGTGCCCCCCTGCCCCATTAGTCACTAACTCCTCTATCTCCTGAGTTCCTTCTCCAACCATCCCTTCCTCCTCACCCCTGCCCAACTCAGGGCCCTTCCTCTCATCCCCCACCAGCGCCTGGATCTGCCCCTGCCCACGCTCTGCCACTCCATTCCCCCACAACCGCTCCAGATCTGCCCTGCCTCCTGCAGCTCAAACTTTGTGTGCTTCCCATTAGCCACAGTGATCCTTGAAGGCCCACATTCCATAATTCTCTGGATTTTAGGAGAGCCGTGGGCCCTCCTGTAACACACAGGCCTGGGGGGGAGGGGGCTAGGGAGCACCCCAGAACAAATTAACAGCCTACTGTAGACGTGGCAGCATGTTTCATGGACAGACAAAGCCATCAAACTACTTTATATCAAGATCATCAAACAGCCTGGCACTTAGGAGGCTAAGATCTGAGGATCAGGGTTGAAAGCCAGATGGAGCAAGAAATCTGTGAGACTTATCTCCAATAAATCATCAGAAAACCAGCAGTGGCACTGTGGCTCAAAGTGATAGAGCACTAGTCTTGAGTGAAAGAACTCAGGGACAGAGCCTAGGCCCTGAGTTCAAGCCCCACAGCCAACAACAAGAAGAAAAAAATCATCAAGCAGAGTGCACAAGTCAGATGGTGCCAACAGGAATCTCTTAGCTTCTGGGGTGTTTGGAGTCCCAAAAACTAGGTAAGAGACCATGGAGCTGGGCAGAACACAGTAGCCAGTCCCTGAACACCTCCGAGATGACCTGTCCTCCCTTCCAGTTTTGCTACCCCCAATCCCCAGTACAGACTGTCTCTCATATAGCCGCACACTTTTATCTTGTAGGCCCAAGTTCTGCTGCTTATTTGGGGCCCAGCTGGGATCCAGCTGCTCTAGACTGGGAACCTAGTCCACAGGCAGGGGTCCTCACCAGAGCCGGCCCCCAGCTGTCCTCGCTTGTGATGGCTCACCACCTTCCCATAGTGAGCCTGTGCCTCTCTCCATGCCTGGCCTAGCACACAACTCAAGGGGTGGCACCACCCTGTGATGGGCTGTCAGTCGCTATGGTTACCTGTGGGCCTGGTCTCCAGACAGGCAGGCCCCATGGCACCAGGTGCAGGCCTCGGACTGATTACAGGCTTCCAGCGAGGGGAGCAGGCGGCAGGGGTCAGGGGGCAGGGTCAGTGCCAGCAGGCGACCCAGGGCTACCCCCCCAAAGCCTCCAGAGATATACAGGCGATTGCCCACAGCAGCCACGGCATGGGCCACAGACTCCTCCATTGGGGATCCCACAGATGCTGGGCCTGAGGAAACATGGGCAGAAGAGAAGCTGGTCAGGACAGAGACCCAGAGAGGACAAAGACAGAGTCAATGGAGGATAGAGATAGGTGTGGAAAAGCAAGGAGGAGACAGGCAAGGACAAATGGACAGGAGATGCACATAGACATCGAAGAAGGAGGAACTGGGCTTCAGTGGCGCATGCCTGTAATTCTAGCTATTCAGGAGGCTGAGATCTAAGAATTGTGGTTGAGGGCTGGGAAGGTGGCTCAGTGGTAGAGTGCTTGCCTTGCATGCATGAGGCCCTGGGTTTGATTCCTGGGCACCACATAAGCAGAAAAATCCAGAAGTGGCGCTGTGGCTCAAGTGCTAGAACACTAGCCTTGAGCCTTGAGCTGAGGGACAGCACCCAGGCCAAGCGACAAAAAAAAAAAAAGAATTGTGGTTGAAATCCAGCTCAGGTAGAAAAGTCCATGAAACCTTTATCTCCAATTAACCACTAAAAAACCAGAAGTAGAGCTGTGGCTCAAAGTGGTAGAGCGCTGGCCTTGAGCAAAAAAGAGTTCAGGGAGCAAGGCACCAGTGACTCACACCTATAACCCTAGTTACTCAGTAGGCTGAGATCTGAGGATCAGTTTGAAGCCAGCCTGGGCAGAAAAGTCTCCCAAGACTTTTTTTTATGTCATGGGGCTTGAACTCTGGGCCTGGGCGCGGTCCCTGAGCTCTTCAGCTCAAGGCTAGCGCTCTACTACTTAAGCCATAGTGCCACTTCTGGTTTCTGGTGATTAATTGGCTGAGTGCTGCAAGGGCATTCAACAAAAGGAGCGTGACATCAGTGGGCTGATGAGGCATTGGAAATCTTTTGGCAGCTCCATGGAGGATTTGCTCCACTTCTGACACCAGCCACCTACTATCTGCCATGAAGAGGCTATCAGTCTCTACCAGAGCAGATATCTGATGCTGAGCAGTCACAGTGTGAGAATCATGGGGTGAGCTTTACTTGCAAGACATTTCCTGCCTGGGCTGGCTTTGAACCATGAGCCGCAGGTCTCAACCTCCTGAGTAGAGAAGATTACAGGCGTGAGCCACCAGCACCTGCCCCTCCCCCACCCCCAAGACTCTTATCTCCAATGACCCACTCAAAAACCAGAAGTGATGCTGTGGCTCAAGTGGTAGAGCACTAGCCTTGAGTACAAAGAGGCTCAGGGACTGTGCTCAGGCCAGAGTTCAAGCCCCACAACCAAAAAAGAGAGAGAGAGAGAAAAATCAAAGATGACCTTTTGTAGGCTTGAGACACTAGGCAGGGATGGGGCCTTTGTTAGGCAGTCTGAGGAGACCTGCCAATTTTCCTAGGGGTTCTCAGGACAGAGACAAGGCTCCTCCTGGAGAACATGGTGGGGACTCACGTGTGAGATCAGGTAGAAGCCAGGCATTGCAGTTGACCTGGTAGAGCAGAACATCGCTGCTGAACTCATCGGGGTCCGAGCGCCCCCCAAGAACCACCATGGTGTCCCCTAGCAGGGCAGCAGCATGGAAAAGCCGAGGGCGGGGCTGTTGGGAAGACAGAAGTGGGAATGGTCTGTCAGAACTGCCCCCTGCATTGTTCCATGTGCCCCTTCCCCAGCATATCTGCCACCCCTGGATTTCCCTTTCTATTCACTACCAGCTCACCTCTTCCTTAAGTTCCCCCTCACCCCCTTCCTCCAGGAAATTCCCTGGACCTACAAAGCCATCTCCCTTCTCTGGGGATGGTCCTGCTGCTTCCTGTGAACAGGGCCCAGAGCCCTCAAACAAAAACCCACATTTCTCAGTACTTTAAGCAGGCTGAGGGCAAAGGGCTCCCTCAGGCATGCCCCTCTGGGGCTGGGAAGGTGGCTCAGTGGTAGAGTGCCTACCTAGCATGCATGAAGCCTTGGGTTCCATCCCTCAGTACCACATAAACAGAAAAGGCCAGAAGTGGTGCTGTGGCTCAAGTGGTAGAGTGCTAGTCTTGAGAAATAGCAGTTCAGAGACAGTGCCCTGGCCCTGAGTGCAGGCCCCAGGACAGGCAAAGAAAAAAAAATTGTCCTTCCCTGCAGATAGCTCCCTGTCCCCCACACCAGCATCTTGGTCTTGTGAGGTAGGAAGCACAAGGAGCCTCAGCCTTATGTTTTTTTGTTGGCGGTCACAGGGCTTGAACTCAGGGCCTGGGCACTGCTGTCTCTAAGCTTCTTTTGCCCAAGGCTAGTGCTCTACCACTTGAGCCACAGCTCCACTAGGCTTTTTTCATACTTTAGTAGAAATAGAGTCTCACAGACTTTTCCTGCCAGGGTTGGCTTCAAACCATGATCCTCAGATCTCAAGTCTCCTGTGTAGCTAGGATTACAGGTATGAGCCACTGGCCCCTGGCTCAGCCCTACCTTTTACAGATCGAGATCCAGGAAGAGGCCAGGGATATGTGGAGAGTGAGTGCAAAGGTATAGCAAAACCTGGGCCTCTTATCTTCTGATGGAGGAAACTCTCCTCCAAATCAGAGCTGGATAAAGCGAGTGTCTGGGATGTCACAGTTCAGACTGGGAAGTGAGGGAAGCAGTAGTAAGGGGTTGGGGAGCCAGTCCTTAGGGCACAGGGAAAGAAGAGTATGTGGCTCCTGCCCCAGGTTTCCTGACCTTTGCCCCCTGAGATGGGGCCAGCAGGCTCCAGGTTCGGTCAGGGCAGTGCAGAGAGTAGAGCTCTGGGGAGGGGGCTGCCAACTCCACATGAAAACGGAAGCCCCCAAACACGTACAGGGAGTCAGTGGCCTCGTGGTAGACTGCCGAATGACCGTAGAGTCCTGGAGGGGGAAGGATGATCAGAAACAGCTTGAATTTACCACTCCATGCCCAGCCTCCTGGACTCCTCCCCTCCCCAGTGGCCACACCCTTCCCTTGAGAGTGTAGATGATCACTGGACACCAGGAAAAGGAAGAAAACAAACAGTTGGGATGCTCTAACAGGCACAGAGGTGGGAGACAAGATGGCAGGATGTCTGGGGGGTTGGGATCTGGAGGAGTGGTGATCTGTCTTTCAGCCTGGGGAAGAGGGGAACAGGCCATCATGGAGTGTGGAGGGGGCCAGGGAGGGGGGCACCCGCAGAGGAGCTGAAAATATTCCCAGAGCTGGTTCCCAGGGAATCTGGATGGCAGTGAACAGAGCCTGTTTGAAGCCCTGGGCAGCTCTGCTCCCAGCCCCACCTGTAGGGGGCGTCCCACTCTGGGCTCCCGACACCCAGGTGCCAGTTGCCAGCTGGTACTCAAACAACTGCTGGTTGAAGCCATTTTCAGGGGAGTAGCCGCCCACCAGGAGCAGAGACAGGCCTCGGCGGGCAGTGAGGCTGTGACCAGCGACTGCCGGCAATTCCACAGTCTGCGGGGCCTGCAGGAGGGAGGGCCAAGGTCACCCAGAGGTCGGAGGTAGGGATCATCTTGTAGGCAGAGGCAAGACTGAGATCCCTAGGACTGGTAAGACCACAGCCCACCAGGGCCCTGCCAGCTGGGCGCACAGGCTCTAGTTGGTTCTGCGGCTTTCAGGCAGCCTCTGCGGTGCCTTTAGGTAGGCCTTGCTCTTCTGCCCTCACTCTGCGGCTGGGTGGGCTCTGTCCAGCCTGGCCAGCCACAGCACCCCAGGCTCTGGGCCAGGATTGGCTCGAGACTTACAACAGGTACCTAGGTCAACCAATCAAATTAAATTGTGCGATCATCTCCTGTCTGTCTGTCTGTCTCTTTCCTCTGAACCTAACCCATCATGCAGGCGGGCATGGCTTTTGCTGGCAGCAAAGATGGCATGGTGCTACTCTGGTCATCCTGGCTTAGCGTGGCATGGGGGCTGTGACTGGGGTTGTACAGAGGCTCACCTTCTCCTGCCGCCACTGGAGGGTGGTGAGGTTCAGGACCCAGAAGTCACGGGTGACACCGCCTGCCGTGAGCCCTCCCAGCAGGTACATGGCCCCACGACCCGCAGACACGTAGGCTGCTGCATGGAAGGAACGGGGAGATGGGCCTGGACCCCCATCCTCAGCTCCCGCCAGCATCTGTGTCCATCGCCGCTCACTCACAGAATACCTGGGGCCAAGGTGGGAAAAAGAAAAAAAGAATCAAGCTGGGTGCCGGTGACTCATGTCTGTCATCCTACTACTCAGGAGGCTGAGATCTGAGGATCATGGTTCAAAGCCAGCCCAGGCCGGAAAAGTTGGTGAGACTCTTATCTCCAATAAACCACTCAGAAAATCATGAGTGATGCTGTGGCTCAAGTAGTAGAGCGCTTGCCTTGAGCCGAAGAGCTGAATGACAGCGCCAGGCCCAGAGTTCAAGCCCCAGGACTGACAAAAAAAAAAGAGAGAGAGAAAGAAAGAAAGAAAAAAAGAAAAAAAAAAAAGAATCAGTAGCCAGGCACCAGTGGCTCATGCCTGTAATCCTAGCTACCCAGGAGGCTGAGATCTAATGATTGTGGTTCAAAGTCAGCCTGGGCAGGAAAGTCCATGAGACTCTTACCTCCAATGAAACACCAGAAAACCAGAAGTGAAGCTGTGGGTCAAATTGGCAGAGCACTACCCTTGAACAAAATTGCTGAGGGACAGCGCCCAGACCTAGAGTTCAAGACCCACGACTAACAAAAAAAAAAAAAAAGCATCAATCTCTGACTGTCATTGTCCAGTCATCCAGGATCCTGAAAAGGGACCCTCCCTGATAGATGTCCCAGCATCCCTTGGGGTCAGTTCCTGTGACAATCATCTCTAGCCCCTGGGGCAGCACTATCCAGAGGACCCCAGTGCCCGTGTCCACTGCTAAGCCTCTTACAACAGTGTCTCAACATCCTTTGGGATGTCCCCCACCTTGAAGGCTTAGCTTGTGCGCTCCCCCAGGTGACTTTTGAGGTAAGCTTCCCTTGCTCAGGTATCCTGCCTTACCTGTACAGGTTTCCCAGCAGACCCTGGGGCAGCCCCAGGCCTCCGAACATCCACAAGGTACCTTCAGGTCCTGCTACCATCGTGTGTCCCAGACGGTGCAGAAAGCGGCTAGCTGTGTCCTAAGGTCATGAGTCAGGGACCGGGGTCAGGAAGGTCAGGGGGCCAGGGATCAGGAAGGTCATGACAAAGGCAAACCTAGGTTGAGGGTCTCAGGGATGGTCCTAGGAGTAGAGATGAATAGGGGAATGACCCATGAGACAGAGCCAGCTGGACCCCCAACTCACAGCTGAGAGGCGGCTGTCCATGACAGTCTCCCAGACCAGCTGCCCACCATCCAGCTTTGTGGCACAGTCGGGTCCTCCGAAGCCCTCAGCGCAGATGCACACACCCAGGCTCTGAGGACAGTGGAAAAGGGGCTCAGCAGGGGGGGCTCCAGTCACTACTCCTTCCCCTACAACCCTAGTTGGCCCTGTCCCCCATACCTGGTTACAAATCCCAGCCCCGGTGTGGGCATTGCAGTTCTCAGGACACAGAGCCATGCGACAATGGGGACCAGCCCAGCCCTGGGGACATCGGCAGAGCCCAGCACCTGCAGCCCCATCCTGGGGTACACACTCCTGGGGGACCGGGCAGCTCCCAGGACCCCCTGAGCCGCAGCGGGCAGAGCCCACAGAGGCATTGAAACCCCAGGATGAGGAGCCATTGGCTTCCCAGTGCAGGACGAGCAGCCCTGTGGAGGAAGAGGGTAGAGACAAAAACCAAGCTTAGCCAGGAAGGGCCGCTGGGCTATCACCATTTATGATCATGGTCAGGATGTATAGCACATTCTCCCCACCCTGGACCAACCCACCAAGCTCCATCCATTTTACACCCTGCCAATCACAGGATGGGGTTGCTGCTTCGTGGTATAGCACATGTCTATTATGTAAAAAGCCATGGGTTCAATCCCCAGAAAATGAAAAATAAAAATAAGCCAGGCACTAGAGGCTTACTATCACCCTATGACCCTAGCTATTCAGGAAGCTGAGATCTAAGGATCAAGGTTCAGTCAGCCTAGGCAGGGAAGTCCATGAGACTCTTATCTCCAATGAACCACCAGAAAACCAGAAATGGAGCTGGGTCTGAAAGTGGTAGGAGCACTAGCCTTGAGCAAAAGAGCTCAGGGACAGTGCCCAGGCCCCGAAATCAAGCACCAGGACCATCACCACCACCAACAAAAGCCTAAATCTCTCTCACTCACCCACTGCTTACCACCTTCTTGAATGCTGTCCAAGCCAGCACCCCACCTCACCCAGACACCAGTGTCATCTCCTACACTCTCATAGATAGACCACATTGTAATTCTTTTTTTTTGTTTTTTGCCAGTCCTGGGGCTTGAACTCAGGGCCTGGGGACTGTCCCTGAGCTTTTTTGCTCAAGTCTAGTGCTTTACCATTTGAGCCACAGTGCCACTTCTGGCTCTTTCTCCTTATATGGTACTGAGGAATCAAACCCAGGGCTTCATGCAAGCTAGGCAAACACTCTACCATTAAGCCACATTCCCAGCTCTGCCCATATAATTCTTACAAGCATAAACCTGACCCCATCCCATAGAAGCAACAAGCCTCCCACAGCTCTTATGTAATTAATTACATGATGTGTTGTGATACATAAAATACGCCTCAATAAAGTTTTTTGTTTTTTATTTTTGTAGGTTATGGGTCCTGAACTCTCAACCTGGGTGCTGACCCTGAGCTCTTCAGCTCAAGGCTAGTGCTCTACCATTTGAGCCACAGTGCCACTTTCAGTTTTTGAGTGGTTAATGGGAGATAAGAGCCCAGGCTGGCTTTGAACCATGATCCTCAGATCTTAGCCTCCTGAGTAGCTAGGATTATAGGTGTGTGCCACCAGTGCCTGGCTATAGATATGTTTTATATATCATCCTTAAAGACTGCTCCTTTTTCCCCCCAGAACTAGGTATAAGCCACCAGCACATGGCTGGCACTGTGCTTTAATACTTAAGTCACATTCCCAAACCTTTTTAGCCTCCTGAATAGTTAGGATTATAGATGTGAGCCACCACACCCAGCTAAAATATTTTTTCAGGCTCCCATAGACACCCAAGGAAGCCCCATGGCCTCCCACTCTCCCTTGTACCCCGTGGACCACTGAGGCCCAAAACAGAAGAGTCCTATCATCCAGGCAAGGAACTGTGTCTGTCCCTGGACTAGAACCTGAATCCTAGCCCAGTGAGGTGACAAGCACAGGAACAAAGGATTTGCAGCCCTAACAAGGGTTAGAGGTGTGGCCCAGTATGTAAGAGGCTCTGGGTTCCATTCCACCCCCAGCCACCTTACCAGACAGAGCCTGCACAGTGAGAGGCCTGTCCCGCCGCTGGCCACAGAAGGCAGCAATGAGGCTACGGTCTGACTGGACAACACCCGTATCCAGGAAGCGTGGGAATCCATCAAAAGCCAGGACATAGCTCAGCTGAGGAGTGCAGAGTAAAGAGTTAGGGGATCAGCAGGACAAGAAAGAAGGGAATTGTGGGAGGAGAGCTTCAGGAGAAGAAGACAGAGCTGGGCACAATACAAGTCTATAATCAAGATACTTAGGAGGCTGAGGCAGGAGGATCATGAGCAAAGACTGGACTATGTCTGATAGAGAGAAAGAGATGACAGATAGATAGATAGATAGATAGATAGATAGATAGATAGATAGATAGATAGACAGATAGATAGACAGATAGACAGATAGATAGACAGATAGATAGATATGGAAAAGAGCTGTTTGAACAGCCAGGACAAACAATCCAGCTATGTCTTAGAGGTCATTCCTCTCATTTCTATGTTCTAAGCAGACAAGACTAATCGATCAGACACTCTTGCACTGATCTCTTTTTCAATACACAGCTTCTAGCAGGCACTACCAATTGACACAAGGTGTGAAACTGCAGTATTCTTGGTCTGGAGAAGGGAGACGGGAGTTCAGGAACCAGGAAGAGAACCAGGAAAGAGCCAGACCTGTGGACTTAGGGACAAAGGGCTGGATGTTCTTTAGAACAGAGTTTGGGATATGGAAACATGGGGTCAGGGCCTGACTGGGAACCTAGACTGGGTTGGAGACATGGTCCTAGTTTTTTGCTGCACTCTAGCCTCCCAGTGCTTACCGTGCAGGGGGTGCTGCTATCCGGGGAGAAGGTGAGGGTGAGTGGTGGACAAAGGGTCCCAGGGGCGCAGGGCTGCAGCTCCTCGGTGGCTGAGACGACCCACACACAGTAGGAAAGACCTGGCCCAGCTCTTGCTGCCCCACCTCCTGGAGGCAGCAGCCCCCCAAACCGGCGGGAGCCCAGAGCCACTGAGGACACGTTGGTGAGAAGGGCACGCCCCCCACACTCTCGGAAGCAGGAGCCACCAGCCCTGTGGGGATGGAGGAGAGCCAGCATCAGACCACTTCTGACCTGCTTCACGCCATGGTATCCCTGAGCCCACCCAGGCCAGCTCTGCCAGCCCTCTGGCTCACCGGGGGTCTCCATAGTAGCCTGGGGAGCACAGCTGGCAGTGGGCCCCCTCTGTGTGGTCCTGGCAGAAGCAGAGCCCGCTGAGGTTGTCACAGTGGCCGCGGCGTGGGTCCCCATGCCCGTTACACTGGCAGGGCCGGCAGCCACCCGAGCCTGTGGCGTTGCCAAAGCTGCCCGGTCGGCACCTCTCGCAGTGCTCTCCCCAGGTCCAGTCTGTGAAGACCCCAGCAGGAGGGGGCAATCAGGAACAAGGACAGAAGGATCCCCGACCAACGGGCTCTGCCGATCCCTGACCCCCTCCCCTGTTGACTCAAAGGAGAGAAACTGAGGGGAGACACAAAAATTCCCAATAGGGAAATGAGGCTCAGCCAAAGATGGTGGCAATCAAAACCTGCTGGGATCAGGAACTGGGACTTGGAACTCACTGCTGCCTGAGGGGAAATTGAGGGAGGAGGACCCTTAAGGCGTGCCTGGGTTTGGGGCTGCAGCTGCTCACCCTGACATTCGTCACAGAAGCCAGGCCCCCGCTTGCGGCAGTGGCTATGGAAGTTGCACCCACAGTCTCGGGAGCAGCGGGGCGCAGGGGGCCCTGGGGCTGGAGTGGGAGGGGGCAGGTCAGATGTCCAGCCCAGGTCACACACGCAGGTGAAGTCAGGGGGTCCACTGCAGACACCATGGCCGCAGTCCTCCAGGCATCTGAAGGAGAGTGGTGGGGATAAGGAGAGGATCGGGGGAGGGGGTCCCTGACCCCCAAGACAACCCATCATCTCCACTCACAATGACATCCTCCCAAATGGGCAGCCTGTTCTCACAGTCCTGATGTGTGATGCTGTTGCCAAGACAACTACAGCACGCATGGTGATAGCCTATCTCCATAGCAACCACCTGTCACCACTGTGGAAACCCTCTTTTAACTAGGTCCTCCTCCATCTCTGTAGCAATGCCAAAGATGGCGACCCCCATGCTGAGTATACTGTTTCCATGGTAACTGGAGTTACCCTGGGTACCCTGGCACTCAATTGAGGTCCTTGTCTGCAGAGTGAATCCCCCAGGCTCACTGGGGGTGCTGCCTCCATCAAGGAGCCTCAAGCCCGCGCCCATCTCCATGGCAACCCCGCCTCACTCACGTGCGGTTGCAGTGTGTGACGCCATCGCCCTGGTAGCCGCGCTGGCAGTGACACTCATAGCTGAGGGGCGTGTTCAGGCAGGTCGCCCGCGGGTGACACCGTGCCAGGCCCAGGCGACACTCGTCCACATCTGGACAACGGGCATAAGCCCAGCGGGCAGGGAGGGCCACTGAAAGCCCCAGGCCCTGGCTCACCCAAAGGGAGCAGTTCCCTCCTCCCAGAGGCCCAGAGAAGTCTCCCTGCAGACACCTGTGGCGGGGGGAGGGGGCAAGGACAGCACAGAAACAGGGCAACATTGACAGGGAAGGGGGAGGAAACAGAATATAAACAGGAGGAAGGGAGAGAAAAAGAGGGGAGAAGGAAAGAGAAACGAAAGAGAAAGACAGAGATCACAGGATGGGGGACAGGTGACAGGGTGGTGAAACAAAGGAGACATTAGAACCACTGAGGAGAGAGGGCCACACGCCCCTTCTTCCCCACCCCAGCCTCTCGCCAGCCCCCCCTCACCGTCCCAGAGTGGGGTTGTCTTCGTTGCCACACCAGCCACACTCGTGGCTCTGCAGACACTCGTGGCAGGTCAGGAAGCCACTGCAGCTCCGGCACCGCGGCTCTGAGTGCACACTGCAAGGGGACAGGTGGGAGGGAGCGGGGGTCAGAGCCCCGGGCACCTCGCCGGTGTAAGCCCCCATTCCATCCGCCCAGGCCCCAGAGGCATACCTGTCGTCCCAGCCACGGCAGCCCCCGTGTGGGTACCGGGCCAGGTAAGCAGCAAACAGGAAGCAGGTGTGGGTGGACTGGCACCAGGCACACTGGCTGGAATTGGCCAGGCAGTCCTCACAGGTCAGGCGCCTGGGGCAAGGAGTCAGGTGAGTCATTGCAGCCCCGCCCCCTGGGGACACCTCACCCACCCTGGGCCCTGCCAGGCTCACTGGCTACAGAGCGGGGGACACTCTTCCGGGCTCTTCAGGGCGCCCCGGCCGCGGCCCCGCCGGCTGCAGGCTGCATCCCCTTTGCGGCTGGAGCTCTGATGCCACTCACAGAAGAGATCCTGGGTGGGAGGGGGTGGTGAAGGAGTCACCTCTTGGGCCCCCAATGCCCATCCCATTACCTGTGGCAAGCCACTGCCCCCTCACCCACTTTCTCAGTCCAACTACCTGTCTCCAATGTCTGCCTCTCTGCACCCGGCTCCATCTACAGACCTTAAATTTGGCCTACTCAGCACCACATAAGCAAAAAGAAAAAAATGGAAGAGCGTCGCTGTGACTCAAGTGGTAGAGTGCTAGCCTTGAGCTGAAGAGCTGAGAAACAGCGCCCAGGCCCAGAGTTAGGCCCCATGACGGGACCAAAAAAAAAAAAAAAACAAAGCCAGCTAGAGAAGGAAAGACTCTTATCTGGTTTCTGGTGAGAAAATGGTAAGTGGAGCTGTGGCTCAAAGTGGTAGAGTGCTAGTCTTAAACAAAAAAGTGCCCAAGCTCTGAGTTCAAGCCCCATGACTAACAAAAAAATCCCACTGAAAAAGCTAAGTGAAGGGAGTGGAGCTGTGGTTCAAAGTTATAGAGCACTAACCTTAAGCAAAAATAGCTCAGGGACAGAGTCCAGGCCTTGAGTTCAAGCCCCATAACCCCCCCACATATACACTCCAATAAAAAAGAAAAGTTGGTACTTTAGGGCTGGGAATGTGGCTTAGTGGTAGAGTGCTTGCCTAGCATGCATGAAGCCTTGGGTTCAATTCCTCAGTACCACATATACAGAAAAAGCCAGAAATGGTGCTGTGGCTCAAGTGGTAGAGTGCTAGCTTTGACCAAAAGAAGCTCAGGCACAGCAGCACATAGGCCCTGAGTTCAAGCCCCAGGACCAGCACCAAAAAAAAAATAGGAAGAAAGATAGGGAAAGTGATTCACATGCCCTACAAGGGGCACATCATGGCTCCCAGGTGCCTGAACCCATTTCCTCTGTGCCCCACCTGGCTCTGAGAACCCCCTAACTGTCCCCTCCCAGGGCTCCTCAGCTGCTCATGCCAGCTGCAGGCCGCCCTGCCCCAGTTGCCTACTCTGGCTGCATCAACCTGAGAACCCCCTGTGGCTCGGCAGGCACCTGGGTGCAAGCGTGGCAGTCGCGATGCTCCTCGCAGAGGGGGCAGAGGGCCGGAACCAGTACCAGTAGGGAGCCGCCAGCCCCATCATCCTCACAGCGGGCCCCGCCCTGGCGCAGGTGGCAGGTGGCACTGCTCAGGCACCAGCCACAGCCCTGGTCCGCCAGGCAGCCCAGGCAGGACGTATAGGAGGTGCAGGCAGAGGAGCGGTAGGGCTCCAAAAAGAAGAAGGAGATCTCCTGGGGACAAGACATACAAGGGCCAGGAGTCAGGGCAGAAATTGGGGCAGGGGGTGGCAGGCAGGGAGTGGGGGGGAGTAGGACCAGGGTTCTGAGCTGAAAATGGAGTTACAGGTTTGGACAGGAAGGGAATTCAGCATAGAAAAGCAGGATTTAGGAAAACAGCACCCAGAAGGTATCTGAATTCAAGAGTAGAGATGGAAAAACAAAGTATGGGGCTGGAATGTAGTTCAGTGGCAAAGTACTTGCCTAGCAGCAAGTACAATGTCCTGGGTTCAATCCCCAGTACCAAGAAGGAAGAGATTAAAAAAAAAAAAAAAAAGCTGGGCTCTGGTGGGTCACTCCTGTAATCCTAGCTACTCAAGAGACTGAGATCTGAGGATCATGGTTTGAAGCCAATCCAGGCAGGAAAGTCTGTGAGGCTCTTACCTCCAATTAATTACCAACTACCAAAAAGCCATAAGTGGAGAGAAGCTGTGACTCAAGTGGTAGAACACCACCTCAGAGCACAAAAGTCAGGGCCAGTGCTCAGTCTCTGAGTTCAAGCCCCAGGATGAACATAAAACAAAACAAAAATCAAACCATAGAGGGCAGGAAATCAGGGGTTAGCATACGAGGTCTAGGCTGGGGGTTACTCACTGAAGGAACACTTGTGCCTGGCATGCCTAGGGTCCTGGGTTCCACCCCCAGCAATTCCCCCCAAAATGGCCCAAGAATATGGGGTCAGGTCATGGTTTGGGATCAGTGGCTAGAATCTAGAGGGCTTAAAGTGATGTCCAGAGTTCAGAAGACAAGTGTCAACCGGGTACCGGTGGCTCACGCCTAGCTACTCAGGAGGCTGAGATCTGAGGTTTGTGGTTCAAAGCCAGCCTGGGCAAGAAACTCTGTGAGATTCTTATCTCCAATAAGCCACTAGAAAACCAGAAGTGGTGCTATGGTTCAAGCAGTAGAATGCTCGCTTTGAGCTAAAGAGCGCAGGGACAGGGCCGAAGCCCAGACTTCAAGCCCCACAACCGACAAAAAAAAAAGACAAGTGCCAAGGGGTCAGAGGTTAGCCAAGAAGTCAGAGTTTATAGTCTGGGGATTGGAAAGCTCAGGGGCTGTGAAGTCAAGGCCGGGTACTCACGCTGCCGCCTGGCACGCCGGTCCGATCCCACAGCAGGGTGAGCTCACTGTGCCCGGGGCCCGCAGAGCCATTCAGCTGGCCTCGGATCTCCACTGCATACTTGTGGCCTCGCCCGGGCAGCGGGAAGAGGCGAGCGGACCCCGGACGCTGTAGCCGCCTGGTCTCCTTCTCCTGCTGAGCCACCCAGCGCCCCACCTCCTCCTGGGGGGAAGGAGTGAGTCTCAGACAGTGTCTTTGGAAAGCTTCACAGGACCCTCTTGAACCCCACGTCCTCCTGCGGGGAGAGGGCCTCAGAGTTCCTCAGATCCCCAAGAAGCTACAAAGTGCCCTCAAGACCCTATAGGCCAACTGCCTCAGGGAAATCTAACTTGGTAACCCAAACCTCCCCCCACATTCTCCAATCTCCCCTCCTCCCCCCAATCTTTGTGTGTGTGCAAGCTCCAGTACTGGGGCTTGAACTCAGGGCCTGGGTGCTGTCCCTCAGCTTCTTTTGCTCAAGGTTAGTGCTCTACCACTTGAGTCACAGCTCCACTTCTGGCTTTTTGGTGGTTCATTGAAGATAATAGTCTCACAGATTTTTCCAGGCTGGCTTTGAACTGCGATCCTCAGATCTCAGCCTCCTGAGTAGCTAGGATGACAGGGGTAAGACCAGCACCTGGCCCCTCAAATCTTGTTCCTAGTTGAAAGCCCCAGTGCACCCCTCCTGTGCTAACAGTCCATCCCATGCCTGTAATTTTTCTCATCTCCCCAGAACCATCACCTTACCGTATCAACATACCTTGACCCATTGTTTACCAACCCCTCCTCCTGAGCCCAGCCCCCAAACATCCCAGGCTCCCTCACCATGTTCTCTGTGTCAGGACCACGTGCCATCCGAGCCAGGACGTGTAGGCGCTGGGCCCGGGCCCACACGGCCACATCTTCACCCCCTGGGCCACCAGGCCCTCCTGGCAGCAGCGGGTGGATAAAACCCCGGTAAACCAGAGACACATCTGTCTCTGGGCTGGGCGTCAGGGTGATGGTTGTACTGCGGACAATGGAGACCTGTACCAACAGCAAAGGGGCAAAGGTTTGAGACCCTCTTTCATCTCTACCCCCATTTCAGGCCACGTCAGGGCCAGAGAATGACCAACCCAGCTTCCCCATTTCATCAAGTGAGAAACTGAGGTAGAGAGCAGGGATTAGGTGGGGAGCCAGAGCCCACTTGACCCCAGTCCCTGCTCATCTCCAGATCACATTAGAAGTCCAGGATTAAGGAACTGGGCACCAGTGGCTCATGCCTACAATCCCAGCTACTCAGGGGGCTGAGATCTGAGGATCAAGATTTGAAGCCAGCCCCAGACAGACAAATCAGAGAGACAAAGCCAAAAGTGAAGGTGTGGCTCAAGTGGTAAAGTGCTAGCCTTGAGCCAAAAAATGTTCAGGGATAGTGCCCAGGCTCTGAGTTCAAGCCCAGAATAGCGCACGCACGCACACTCTCTCACTCACACTCACACTCACTCACACACACATAGACACACACATACACACACATATACACAAATTCTCAGCTAGGTGCCAGAACTTAGAGGGCCCTAGACTGTAATCTTCCTATTGTCACCACCCACGTAGCTGAGATTAAAGGCATGCATCATCATACTCAGCCCATATTAGATGCTTGAATGTAAAGGCTTTCAGAGTAAACACAAAAATGAGGCTGTAACTCAGTGTGGGGTGCATACTTAGCCTGCACAAGGTACTGAGTTCCATCCCTAGTGACACCTCCCCACACACACACACCCTCCACACACACACACAAACACACACCTTACACACACACAAACACACACCTTACACACACAAACATACACCTTACACACACACAAACACACACCTTACACACACACAAACACACACCTTACACACACACACAAACACACACCTTACACACACACACACCCTCCACACATACAAGCTACAAGCTCAGGATCATCAACATTTCACAGAGGAGAGACCCTCTCTTGCTTCCCACCTTGTCGGGCTGGGAGACGTTGGGCGGCTGCTGGAAGGTGAGCAGGTGCAGGCCAGGCAGGAAGCTCTGGGTGACACAGGCCTCCAGGGAAGTGACAAAGACAGGTGCTGGCCCCCACCAGCCCACGGTGCCTGAGATCTGCTCCCCTCGGCAGCGGGCTTGCTCTGGAAGGAAGGGAAGTAGGGGATGAGAGGGTCTGTATGGAGGAAGTGGGGGGGGGAGGAGGGGGGCTGTGACACCCATCCTCCACCCACTGCCACTAACACTCACCAGGCCGAGGGAGACAGCTTTCATTGTGCACGCACCAGCCCAGCGCACCAGGCCCCCGGGGAGGGCCCGTGGGGCTGCTGAAGGCCAGGCATGCCTGGCAGTCACTCAGGAGGCGGCCCAGGCCCAGGCAGCTGGCAGCTGGACACTGCAAGGGAGGTTGGGCACAGGGCTCTCTGTCTACCCGGGCTGAAGGGATCTGGGCTGGGCTGTGGATACAGGGGTCCTGGCATGAAAGCAACTAGCAAATTGTGGACTGGGGAAGGGGAGCTGGGTAGCAATGCAGGGGAGGCCAGGGGGACCCAGGGACAAGCTGGCGGGAGCCAGAGGTTCAGCGGTCAGTCATGAGCAGAAATGAGGATTGTGGTGTGAGAACAAGGGCTGCAAATGGGAGCAGCCACTGACCCCTTGGCTTAGGCAGAGGGAGGGCCGGGAGGGCAGCAGATGGGGGTGTCACTCACGGGCCCTAAAAGGGTTCCAGGAGGGGGTGCGGCCTGGCAGGCCCCCTGACACCAGCTGCATTCAGGGTCTCTGGAGCACACGCTGTGGTCGGTGTACATGGAGCAGTAGTCCAAGTGGTACTGTAAAGAGACAGGGAAAGAGGGGAGCCCTGTTCAATCCTGGGGTCTACCTGTCCCCCAACCCCTCTGATCACTCAGTACCGAGGACCCAACCATCCCTTACCCAGGACCCTCTAGTACCGCCTCCCTCCTCTGTGGGGACCAGACCACCCTCTCCCTGTCTTCCCAGTGCTCACATCTGGGGCAGGAGCCTGAAACACGAAGGGGGGCACCTTGTAGGCCATCAAGTCCCCCCGAGGCCGGCCACTGTACCCCCCAGCCACCAACAGGACACTGCCACCAAGCACAGCTGCCACGTGTGAATACCGACCACTAGGGGGTGCTGCTCGGCCTAGAAGAACAGACATGCCCCCCCCCCAAGAACATTAGACTCCCCCCTGATACACACACATCCTCCTGCACGTTCATGAGCCTCACCCAGCCTCCATCCCACCCACAAAGGAAGCTGCAGGAGGCCCAGCTCCGCACTGGCTGTAATTCTCTCACCTCAACATCCCTGTCCAAGTCATCTTTTAGACAGAACATGCTCTAAAGGGCAAAATTTTGTGGGTTCAAATCACGAGTCAACCAATAGCTATGTGACCTGAGGCAGAATATATGACTTCTCTGATTCCTGACTTCTCTGTAAGTGGGGCCACCATCCCATGCTCCTCTCTGGTGATGGCCCCTAATGTCCTTTTCCCCACTGGGCGGGCACATGAGTGGAGCTGGCAGAAGTAGGGCCTGAGCGCAAGTCTGTCAGTCTCAGGAACTGATCCAGAGAAGAGCAACCTCCTTCCTCTGGGCATTTTAAGGGAGCAGATTTAATCCAAGCTGGTGACCATCTACACAGGGCAAACCAAGAGGGAAGTGAACCTAGCTGAGAACTGGAGATGGAAAAGGTGGGTGCTTTCAGTGAACTTGGATCCAGCTCAGCCTGAAGCTTTTACTTAAGTGAACCAAGACATTCTCCTTTGTGCTCATACCAGCTGGGCTGAGTTTCTGGCACATACAACCAAGAGTCCTGACAGGCAAATGTTCAGTGAATGGTCATTTCCCAGCCTTCAGACTGACCCCTGTACAAACCATGGGGTTTGGCCCAAAGAATCATAAAAATAAACAATTTGCCAGGCACTGGTGGCTCATGCCTGTAATCCTAGCTACTCAGGAGGTTGAGATCTGAAGATCAAGGTTCAAAGCCAGCCTGGGCAGGAAAGTCCATGAGACTCTTATCTCCAATTAACCACCAGAAAACCAGAACTGGTCTATGGCTCAAGTGGAAGAGTGCTTGTCTTGAGCTGAAGAGCTCAGGGACAGCGCCCAGCCCCAGACTTCAAGCCCCCTCACTGACCAAAAAAAAGGAACAAGCTGAGCCCTTTGCTGGGCTCTTCATGCTTCGTGCATTCCCTCAACATACTCTCATGACAGCCCAGTGGCCCTGCATGAGAGGCGAGGTGAATGAGGCTTGCAAGATTAAGGGCTGGCTGGGGCAAGTGGCTGTTTGGAGCCAGCCATTTTGGTCCTGCTACTTGCCCACTATGACCCTAAAGAAGTCTCTGATTCTTAGCAGCTACCTGTAGTTGACACACAAAATCTGAGACATCTAGACACACAAAACCTGGGGCAGCTGGACATACAAAACCTGGGCTGGGAACTACGTCCCCTGCTGCTGCACCTGCCTCTCAGCTCCACGGTGACGCAGCCAGTCCCATCTTGGGTCCAGGCTTGCCTCTGGAGGCAAAAGGCTGCCTGGATCACCATGAGACAGGGTCTGGCTCCTACCCAGATTCAGTGTGGGGGAGCCCTCAGAATTGCTCACCCTCAGGGGTGCCTGGGGGGGCCAGTTCGGCCCCCGATACCCACTGGTGGCAGCCAAGGTGGTAGAAGAAGATGCCATCTTCGTAGCACTTTTCTTCTTGGTAATGGGTGTGCACGTTACCCCCTGGGGAAGGAGGAAAGGGGCACAGCTGTTGAGTCCAATGAAAGTGAGGTACCCAGGCAGGGAGCCTCAGGTCAGGCTGGCTTGTGGCGCCTGGCAGTGGGCAGGGTCGGGGGCCTTCTCACCATAGATCACCATGTAGTTGCCCAGGACGCTGGCTGTGTGGAAGGCTCGCTCTCGGGGGCCCTGTAGCCCTTCCCGGCCCTTCAGGGTGGTCCACACGCGTCGGTCCACATGGAAGAGCTCTGTAGAGTTTACCCTTACAGAGAACCTACAGGGGCGGGCAAGGCAGAAGCTCTGGGCAGAGCCAAGGGGAGAGCCAAGCCCTACCTCCCCTGGACTCTCAGGAGCTCTTCCATCACGTGGGAAGGAGACCAGAGTCAACACTCTTCCTCCCTAGATGCTTGCTGTGGACAGAACCCAGATCAGATGAGTTGTCTGCATAATCTAATCAGAACTGGACACAAGAATGAATGAATGAATGAATGAGTGAATGGAACGTATGGAAGAACACTGGCCGAGAAAGTTAATAAAGAATCACAAACGGCTAGGTGCTGGTAGTTCACTCCTGTAATCCTAGCTATTCAGGAGGCTGCGATCTGAGGATCGCCGTTCAAAGCCAGCCAGCACAGGAATCTATGAGATTCTTATCTCCAGTTAACCACTAGAAAACTGGAAATAGAACTATGGCTCAAAGTGGTAGAACACTAGCAAAAGAGCTCAGGAACTACGCCCAGGTCCTGAGTTTGAGCTCTAAGACTGTAAAATAAATAAATAAATCACAGTGTGTGGGAAGGTGAGTGTGTAAACAAATGAATGAGGGAGTCTGTTAGTGGCCACAGCCTTTTTGGGGAGAAGAATGGGAGTGGGGATAGTTCTGGAGATGAAACTCAGGGCCTCCCACCTGCTAGACACCTTGGTCTACACCTAAGACCTTCTGCCTTTAGATTTATTTTTGGATAGAGTTTTGCTTACTTTGCCTAGGCTGACTGGGACCCATGATCCTCCTACCCCCACCTCACAAGTTACTGGAATTACAGACAGGTACTACTGCACTTGTTCCCAAGACTTTGTAAATCCAAGCTTCTGTCAAGTATTGGACTGGCCTGGCCCTGAGGGACAGGGGTGTGGGGCAAAGCCACTCACCGGGCAGTGGAAGGTCGGTGTCCACCATGGACCAACAGGGCCCGAGAGGGGGCGTGGAACACCATGGAGTGGCCAGTGGCAGCGGGGGGCCTCCCACCTGCTGGGATCACCTGCTCCCAGTAACCCCCACCGGTGATGTCCAGATGGAAACGGAAGAGGCCGGAGGAGAAGAGGTCATGCTGGGTGCGGCCACCAGACACATAGAGCCAGGTGTCATCCACCAGGGCAGCGGCGTGACCTGCCAGTCCTGGGGGCCCTGAGGAGCTGGAGGAAGGCGGTGCCAGGAGCTTCCAGCGGCCTTTGCCAAATGGGCTAAAGGCCCACACATCATTGGTGAGCGAGCCATCAGCCAGTTCGCCACCCATCAGGACCAGGAAGCCATCCCAGGCCACGCCCACATGGGAATGGCGGGCAGCCTGTGAGGAAAGACAAAGAGACAGAGATGGGAGAACATGGCTAGATGGAGTCCAAGCCAGACATGGTCAGAGACATGCAGAGGCTAAGACAGACTGAGGCAAAAAGGACAGAGATAGGCAGGGAAAGAAAAGGACAGATTCAAAAAAGCACAGAGAAAGACACAGTAAGAGGAGAAAGGCAGTAAGAGATAGAAGAAGACAGATATAGAAGTGAAGGACAACAGAGAAACAGACTCAGCAAGACAGAGGCATGGACAAGATGGACAAGAATAAGCCAAAAGTAGAGGCAGACTGAGAGACATGGGAGATGTACAAAAAGGCAGGATGTAGAAAGTGGGGAGAGGAAGTAGGAAGAAAAGGAAACCATGAGGGTGGAGGGGATGAATTTGTTCAAAGTGCATTGTGCACATGTGTGGAAATACCACAGTGAACCCCTCGTGCTATGAATGGATACTAATACAGAAAAGGACAATATTTTTTAAAAAGAAAATATTTTTAGAGAAAAAGAAGCCAGGCACCAGTGGCTTATGCCTGTCATCCTAGCTACTCAGAAGGCTAAGATCTGAGGATCAAGGTTCAAAGCCAACCCGGGCAGAAAAGTCTGTGAGACTCTTATCTCCAATGAACCACAATAAACAGAAGTGGAGCTATGGCTTAAGTGGTAGAGCACCAGCCTAGAGCACAAAAACTCATGGACAAGCCAGGTGCTGGTGGCTCATGCCTGCAATCCTAGCTACTCAGGAGGCTAAGATCTGAGGATAGTGGTTCAAAGCCAGCCCAAGCAAGAAAGTCTGTGAGATTCTTATCTCCAAAAAACCACCAGAAGGGAAGTGGTGCTGTAGCTCAAGTGGTAGAGCGCTCGCCTTGAGCTGAAGAGCTGAGGGACAAGCGCCCAGGCCCAGAGTTCAAGCCCCACAACTCCCAAAAAACAAAAAAACAAAAAAAAAAAAAAATACAAAAAACCACCAGAAAACCAGAAGTGGCGCTGTGGCTCAAGTTGTAGAGCACTAGCCTTGAGCTAAATTGCTGAGGGACAGCACCCAGGCCAAGAGTTCAAGCCTCAGGACCAGCAAAAAAAAGAGCAAGCAAAGACAGAAATGGAAACAGGTTCGTCTACTAAGTTGTGTGGTAAGAAGTAATATAGGGTGATGGAGGATGCTCTGGGGGGACCTTGGCTGGGTCTGGTGACAGGCTCCCCCAGAAGGGCAGAAGAGGGTCCATACCGGGGCAGGACTCAGATCCCAGGACTCCCAGGTGTTGGCAGAGAAGTTGTACAGGACCAGGTCACCCAGGGCCTTGTTGAGGTCCTGGCCTGTAGAGGGGCAGAAGTGTCAAGCTTTGGCCACAGAGTCCCCAGGCTCCAGGTCCCCAAGTCCCACACAGCCCCCCAAGCCACTTACCTCCAAAAACAGCCAGCAGCCCTACTGGGGAAAGGAAGGCACCAGCCGCCCCGATACGAGCTGAGAAGGCAGGGTCTCCAGCACTGACATTGTGCCACCAGCCAGCTCCCTGGTTCTCCCACAAATGCAGGTCACAGGCACGTCCCAGGAAGCCACGCTCACAGCGGCATGGTCCCAGGCGCTAGGGAGGAAGGGGACATAAAGGCAGGGAGAGAGAGAGTCAGAGAAATGGGAGGGTCACAAAGAAACAGCCAGAGTGAGACAGATGGGGCAGACAGGGAAGACAGGAAGGGAGAGAATGTTAAAGAGAAAGACAGAGGGCCAAAAGGAAAGACAGATGGGATAAAAAGCAGGACAGCTGGGCACTGATGGCTCACGCCTGTCATCCTAGCTACTCAGGAGGCTGAGATCTGAGGATCGCAGTTCAAAGCCAGCCCAGGCAGGAAAGTCTGAGAGACCCTTATCTCCAATTAACCATGGAAAAACCAGAAGTGGAGTTGTGGCTCAAGTGGTAGAGCACCAGCCTTGAGCAGGAAAGCAAAGGGCCAGAGCCCAGGCCCTGAGTTCAAGCCTCAGTACCAGCACACACACACACACACACACACACACACACACACACACACAGACTGAAATACTGGCAGGAGTCAAGGCCACAGGAGTTGCTGGCTGGGAGGAGGAAGGAGGGCTGAGTGCTCAGGTGAGGGTGGGTAGGAGGGAAAGGTAGATCTGCAGGTGCTGGTGAAGCAGAACGGGGGCTCCAGGGGACCCTGGGTACGAACTCACCGAGGCGCAGGTGCCATGGCTGCCACAATAGGTGGAGCACTCCTGCAGGCCACAGTCGGGGCCCCCCCAGCCTGGCTCGCAGACACACACTCCTGAAGGCTGGCACTGCCCATGGCTCTGGCAGCCACCAGGGCACAGGGAGAAGCGGAAGGAGGCGTTGAAGCCGAGTAGATTATAATTGGCATCACTAAAGAGGTGTAGCAGCATCTGTGGAGACAAGGGTGGCTGGGAAGTGTGGGCAAGCTGGCCCAGGCAATGCCTTCGTCTTTCTGGCTTTGCCGTCTCTATGTCCTCTGGGATACCCTTGGCTCTGTCCCTCTGAGTCTTTTTGTTTCCCTCTGTCTGTCCCCGCCCCCCTGCCACACACACACTCTGGATCCTCCATCCACAGCCCCACTGACCTTGCCTGAGGAAGCCTCGATGGGTGGGGGCCTCGTGCTCCCACTCAGACTAGCCAGCAGCGGGCCCTGTGGGGAATCGCCATCATACACGAACAGGTAATCGTACGTGCATTCCGTGTCCAGGAAAAGGAAGTCCAGCAGGATCCGGTGTTGGGGGCTCGGGGCTGAGGGGAGAATGCAGAGGGGGCCAAGTTCCACCTCAGCCAGAGGACTCACAATGTCGAACCCCCTCCCCGCACCGTTCCACCACTCAGATGGGGAAACTGAGAGATGAGACTCCTTCAGTGAACCCAGGGCATCTTCACTGATCCTCAGCCTCATTGCCAGCCTCAGACACACGTGTGCTGCAGTTGAGGCCCAGGCCCCAAGCAGAGGTGTGAGGTCTTCTGCTTTTCCTTGGACTTGTGTGGGATCAGATCCCCTCACTCATGGTCTGCAGAACCTTCAAAGACCCGGATTCCAAGCCTCCCAGAATCTCTCCCACTAGCCCTGTCCAAATTACACAGATTGTTTTCATAGATGACATCCGCATCTTTGTCAAATGCCTGCAGGAGGCTGGCTCGCCATCTGCCTTCCCCGGTTCAAGGTCTTCTGTTTCCATCTCCTCCCACTCCCACTCCACTCCCCAAGAGCATCTGATCCCAAACCACCACCACTACCACCCGGAAAAAGGACTGGGACTAGACAAAGAATGAACATGGCATAAAAGGGAGCAGGTTAAATAAGGCATGGCAGTGTATACTTGCAATCCCGGCACTGGACTGAGTTCAAGGCCAGCAAGAGCTACAGAGACCCCTGTCTCAAAAAACAAGAGGGCTGGAGACATAAATCAAGTGGTACAATGCTGCCTAACCATCACCAGGCCAAGGTTAAATTCCAGTATTACAAAAGAAAACAAACAAAAAAATCTCCCTCCCTCTCAAGTCTCTCAGTCTCTCACCTTAGCCCTTGTCCCAGATCACAACTCGTTTTCTCATGCAATACCAACACATCAAGTTTCCAATCGGCACCTATCAGCCCAGGGCAAAGCCCTACTTCTACTCAAAATCATTCACTGGCCAGGCACCAGTGGCTTGCACCTATAATCCTAGCTACTCAGGAGACAGAGATCTGAGGATCTTGGTTCAAAGCCAGCCTCAGGAAGCAAAGTCTGTAAGACTCTTATCTCCAATTAATCACCAAAACTCAGAAGTGGTGCTGTGGCTGAAAGTGGTAGAGCACTAGCCATGGAGTGAAAAAGAGCTCAGGGACAGCGTCCAGGTTCCCAGTTCAAGACCCACCCAAAAAAAAAAATCCACTGGCCCCCTAGTAACACAAGGCCAAGTCTGTGCTCAGTGTGACATTCAAGGCCCTTTCTCCAAGGCCACCTCCTTGCTGCCCTGTCCACAGCACAGCCAGACGGACAAACCCAGACAAGAATCTTTTTTTTTGTCGGCCGTGGGGCTTGAACTCTGGGCTTGGGCGCTGTCCTTGTGCTCTTCAGCTCAAGGCGAGAGCTCTACTGCTTGAGCCACAGCACCACTTCCAGTTTTCTAACGGTTTATTGGAGATAAGAGTCTCACGAACTTTCCACTGGCTTTGAACTGCGATCCTCAGATCTCAGCCTCCAGAGTAGCTAGGATTACAGGTGTGAGCCACTGGCACCCGGCGAAGATGGAAATAGAATTGATGTATTTACTTGAAATTAGTAAATACATTTTTTTTGTCGGTCTTGGGGCTTGAACTCTGGGCCTGAGCGGCAAAAGGAATCTTAAGACACACCAGGCTCCCTCATGTCTTTAGAGGGGTTGATCCCTTGTCCAGCTCAGTAACTCCCACACATGCTTTGAAATTCCACATCAATGGCCTAGTTACCAACCCCAGTAACCTCCCTAGGCCTCAGTCCTGAGCACAGCCTCTGTGAGCAGCAGACAGGAAAGAGTTAAATGCCACAACCAGCCCCACCCTCTACCCCCCAGCTCATCCAATCTGAGACTCCCCAAGGTCACAAAATACTTTATAACTCTCCTGACTCAATCACACACTTCTCATTCTGTTCTCATCCTGCAGCCTGACAAACTGGAGGCATGCAGACAAGCTTATCCCCAAATGCATGCCTTCATCCATACTCCACAAAGCAGCCCAAGAGAACTTCTTAAACAGCAACCAAAGCCAGGGACAGTGGCTCGTGCCTGTAATCCTAGCTACTCAAGAGGATGAGATCTGAGGATCATGTTTCAACGCTAGCCTGGGTAGGAAAGTCCATGAGACTCTTATGTCTAATTAGCTACCAAAAAAGCTGCAAGTATTGCTGTAGCTCAAATGGTAGAGCGCTAGTCTTGAGCAAAGAAGCTTAGACCAGGGGCCAGGCCCTGAGTTCAAGCCACAGGATTGGCATAAAACACACACAGCCCGGCGCTGGTGGCTCACACCTGTAATCCTAGCTACTCAGGAGGCTGAGATCTGAGGATCGTGGTTCAAAGCCAGCCCGGGCAGGAGAGACCATGAGACTCCTATCTCCAATAAACCACCAGAAAAACCGGAAGTGGCGCTGTAGCTCAAGTGGTAGAGCGCTCGCCTTGAGATGAAGAGCTGAGGGACAGCGCCCAGGCCCAGAGTTCAAGCCCCACGACCGAAAACACACACACACACACACACACACACATCATCTAGATCCTTCTGCTCAAAACCCTCCTATAGCTCTCCAGTTCCCCCAGATAAGACTGAGCTCCACAACCTGCCAAGGGCTGTAGACTCTCTGCATGATACAGACTCTGGCATTCCTCTAGCTTTGGCCCATAACTTCTGACCTGTCCTTGGAGGCCAGCTCCGACATCTATTTCCCTATGAGGTCTCTCTGGACTGTCACTATTTTTCGGATATGGTCTTCTGTTTCTGCCCAAAGCCAGTCACAGACAGCAATCTCCCCTGCCTATGCCTCCTTCACACTTGGGTACATTACCACATGCCTGGACCAGCTGAGAAACTCCATTCTTCCAATCTTCATCTCTATAATAACTGGAATCACTCCTGAATTCCTGTTCCCGCTTTCTTCCTTCAGATTCTGTCTGACCAAGGCTGGGCTCTGCCAGGCCTGTGGGATTCTCCCATCACAGACCCAACAGGGTTTGTCACTGTCTGTTAATGCATTTGTCTCTGCTACTGAACTCCATACCGTACATCACCAGGGACTGCTGGGACTCTATTGGTCTTTTGCCCATGTCCTGCTGGCAAATGCAATGTCTAGCAAATAAAAGACTGGAGGGAAAATGCTTTTACTAAAGAACTCTAAAACAACAGCAAGAACACTTTTTTTTTCCCCCCAATCCTGGAAAAAGAAACAGTGTCAGGGACTGGCACTGTTCCTGAGCTTCTTTTGCTCAAAATTAGCACTCTACCATTTGAAGTCACAGCATCACTTCTGGCTTGTTTGTTTGGCCAGTCTTGGGGCCTGAACTCTGGGTATGGGCGCTGTCCCTCAGCTCTTCAGCTCAAGGCTAGCACTCTACCACTTGAGCCACAGCACCACTTCCAGCTTTTTCTGCTTATGTGGTGCTGAGGAAATGAACCTAGGGCCTCATGCATACAAGGCAAGCACTCTACCACTGAGCCACCTTCCCAGCCCTGGCTTTTTCTTTATATGGTACTGAGGAATCAAACCCAGGGATTCATGAATTCTAAGCAAGCACTCTACACTAAGCCACATTCCCACCCCCCCACACACCATTCTTTTTGTCAGTCATGGGGCTTGTACTCAGGGATTGGGCACTATCCCTGAGTTTTTGTGCTCAAAGCTAATGCTCTACCACTTTGAACAACAGACCGACTTCTGGTTTGGGAGTAGTTAACTAAAGATAAGAACCTCATGGAGTTTCTTGCCTGGGCTGGCTGTTAGCCATGATCATCAGCTCTCCTCCTGAGTAACTAGGATGACAGGAGTGAGCCCCCAGAGCCCGGCTTAGCAAGAATAATCTTTTTTTTTTTTTTTTGTCAGTCATGGGACTTGAATTCTGGGCTTGGGGGCTGTCCCTATGCTCTTCAGCTCAAGGCAAGCACTATACCGCTTGAGCCACAGTGCCACTTCCAGTTTTCTAGTGGTTTATTGGAGATAAGAGTTTCACAGACTTTCCTGCCCGGGCTGGCTTTGAACCTTGATCCTCAGATCTTAGCCTCCTGAGTAGCTAAGATTACAGGCGTGAGCCACCGTGCCCGGCATAAGAAGAATCTTAATACCATTTGTTGAACATTTACTATGTGCCAGGCCTCCACTATGTTCAGATCTGGTCTCCTTCAAGAATGGTTGGAAGTGAATATTATTATTATCTCCATTTGGAGTAAAGGTAGGAACCACAGAGAGAGAAATTATCTTGCCCAAAACTACAATGCCAGTAGGAAGAGCCTAAATTCTAAGGCAGGTGCTTGGATTCTGCGCCTGGGTTAAGTTACTCAGAAAATTCTCCCACTGATGCTCCTGGTTTGTTTTGGTGTGTGTGAGAGAGAGAGACAGACAGACAGACAGTCACAATGTAGCACAGGCTAGCCTCCAACTCTCAATCCTCTTCCCTTTGCCTCTTTTTTTGTTGTTGTTGGTCGTGGGGCTTGAACTCTGTGCCTGGGCTCTGTCCCTCATCTCTTCAGCTCAAGGTGAGTGCTCTACCAATTGAGCCACACAGCACCACTTCCAGTTTTCTGGTGGTTTATTGGAGATAAGAGTCTCAAGGACTTCCCTGCCCTGGCTGGCTTTGAACTACTATCTTCAGATCTCAGCCTCCTGAGTAGCTAGGATTACAAGCATGAGCCGATGCCCCACTCCCTTTGCCTCTTAAATTCTGGAAATACAGGTATGCACCATCACTCCAACTGGTTTGTAACTGAGTTTGCATACATCTCCCCTCTACATTTTCCACCTTCCCAGGCTGGGCAGGAGTAGGTTGTCTGCATTCTTCAAGGGGCCCAATAGTTTAGAGCACAATTCCTGGATGAGAACTGGACTCTGGGAATGTGCTGAGTAGATGATCTTACAAATGAATGAATGAGTGACAACTGCGGGGCCCCACTCACCCTCAATAAGCCATTCGCAGTTGCCATTGACGCTGTAGTTGCCCGCACCGTCCGTCACGAAGCCTGGCGCCTCCCGGAGCACCTGCCGCTGCCCCTTGCAGTCGCCGGCCAGAGCCCTGGGGGAGAGCGGCCCCAGCACGGCCCAGGCCAGGGCCGCCAGGGCCGCGGCCAGAGCCCGGCCCAGGATCATCGCCGCCTCCCGCAGTAACCCTGAGAGTCGGGGAGGGCTGGGAAGACCCGGAGAGGCCTTCTCAAGGCTTGAGACGCCACCAATGCGACCCCTACGGCCTTGTAGGCCCGGCTGGCCTCAGAGACCCCACTGAAGGGACGGCCAGTGTTGACAAGCCCCGGATGCCGAGGGGCGGGACCTAACCATCCATGAAAAGGCCTGTCCACGGGACCGTGATGGACGGGGCCATAAGCCTCTAAGGACCATTGGGGTCCCCCATAGACACAGACCCCCATAGGGGGGCCGACCCCACACACAGCGACCAACGAACAATTAGACTCGGACCGCGGCAGGCCCAAACAGACCTTTATAGATGGGTCGCTACAGGCCCTACGGCCCCATGGTGCGGGCCCCAACCCTCCAGACCCAGAAGGTCCCGCGGAGACCCCTCGAGCCGGGGGCGGGGCGCGAGCGGGCGTCGGGGGCGGAGCCTGGCTTCAGGGTCTCGGGCCTGGATCCCATAGGTACGCGCTTCCCTTCACAGGCCGCCGGACCAGACCAGAGAGACTGAGGGGAGTCGCGGGCTAGAGCGACTGGGGTAGAGGAGGGGGCGGGGAGGGAGACCCGCCGGGAGGGCGGGAGGCGCGCAGCCGCTGTGGAAAGGCTGGGAGAGAGGAGGCGAGAAGTTGCCCAGCTGCAGGTCAGAGCGGCCCTAGGAGGACTGCAGAGAGTCCCCGCCTATCTGCGCCCAGGCGCATGCGCAATACCCTCCTGGCCCGGCGTGTGCATGTGCGTGTGCCACGCATGCGCAGTGCTAGGATGATCCAACCTGGGATCCGTTTTGCATTTGCCACTGGAAGCACCCCTATCTCTGAATGGTAAAGGGAAGGTAAAAATAAAGGAGCGGTGCGGACGGTTCCGCTAGGTGATTCTTCTAGACCTCCAGATTCTAGATCTGCATAAAAGTCAAATTATATACACAGGGAGTTGGTGGCTCACGCCTGTCATCCCGGAGGCTGAGATCTGAGGACCACAGTTCGAAGCCAGCCTGAGGCAGGAAAGTCTGTGAGACTCTCCAGTGAACCACCAAAAAAGCCTGAAGCAAAAAGCTGTGGTTCCAGTGGTAGAGCAGGCCAGCCTTGAGTGCAAAAGCTTAGAGACAGCGCCCAGGCCTCGAGTTCAAGCCCCAGGACACGGAGACACCACACACACACACACACACACACACACACACGAATAAAAGAAGCCTTAGTGTAGATAAAAACCTCAACGGCTCCTCTTTATTTTGGCAAGAGAGAGAAAGAGAGCCCCTTCCCCCGGGCTGCGCGCGGGGCAGAGGTCACAGATCCGATGGATTTCAGAGTCGAGACCAGCTTCACAATATCCGTCCCGGGGAGCAGGTGGCTCGGGGTCGCGGAGTCCTGGAGAATCACGGGCAGGGTCCTGGCGGTCATCATCGGCGTTCCGGAATCCAGCAGGGTCACAGGTCTCGGAGGGGGTCAGGGGGTCGGAGATCACGGAACAGCGGGAGCCCAGAATCCGGCGCCATTCGGGGCAGGGGCTGAGGGAGGGGACGGGGAGAGCGGCTCCCGCGGGACCGTTTGGCACAGAGGACGGAGGGGCGGGGGGCGCAGCGCACCCCGCCTGGGCGGGCGCAGGGTGGGGCAGGGCGGGAGGGCCCAGGACGGTCCTTCCCCGGGGCCGGGACGGAGCTGGGGAGGCGGGGGAGGGATCCGGAGCCCAGCCGGGGCCCGGTGCGCGGCCCTTAGGTCAAGGGCGGTGGGGAGGGCGGGGCAGGGGCGCTCAGACCGGGGGTGCGGGACCCCCGGCTGTGTGCATGCTGAAGTATTCGGTGAAGCCGCCGCTCTGTGGCGCCGCCGTCTGGGCAACCAGCGGCTGGTAGGGGGGCGTCGGGCCATCCCAGCCCGAGTCAGCCGCCTTGGGGAACCGAGCGGGAAGGGACGGGGAGGCTGCGCCCGGCTCGGCCATGGTCACCACCACGCGACCCCTCGGGGCCACCGCCGCCGCCGCTACCGCCGTCTCCTCCACCTGCTTCCCGGCCTGGGAGGGGGGTCAGGGTCAGAGGCCATCCGGGACCCTCGGGGGGGAGGGGCAGATGCGGCCCCGAAGGCCCGTCCCCCTCCCCCTCCTAGAGAACCCCGCCCCCCCAGTGTGGACACGCTTGTCAGTCAGGGGGGTGGGTGGTGCCCAGAGGGGACGCGCCTGTCAATCAGGGGAGTGGGTGTGGCGCCCAGTGGACGCCTCTGTCAATCAAGGAAGGTGTGGGTGGCGGGGCGCCTGGGCAGAGGAGCCAGGTACTCCAGGGGTGGCGTCGGGGTGCGCGGGGCGAACTCGGGCGGCGGCGGGGAATCGGGGGTAGAGCCCCGGAAGGCAGGCGGCGGGGGCACGGCTCGCGGCGTCGGCGGGGGCGTGCGCAGAAGGGCCAGGACCCA